TCAGTTTATCACTTACACAACATTCACATGGTGTTCCTGGCCTGGCTCTTGGGGGCCTTGACCCCAGTCCATCTGGGACCAGTTCAGATTTTCTAACTTGGAGTGATCAGGTAACCTGAGGGTGAGGTCACAGGAAGCTCTGCAGAGGCCATTCCGGTAAAGGGGCTCATTCAGCCTCAGCTTCCCCACCTGAAGGTGGGAGGGAAGTCTGGGGGAAACAGAATGGTGCTTGAGGTCTAGCCTCTGCTACCTCCTTGTTCTCCACTGCCACTTCCACCCGCAGTGGCCCAGCCGCACAAGATAACCTCCCAACCCTGAGAAATGGCAGGGGCCCCTGAGCCCAGCAGACCCTTCTGGAACCAAGGGCCACCTCTCCTGCCCCCCGGCACCCCCTGAGAAGACCTCACGCTCTTGTCCTTTCTTTCTTGCCTTCCTCCTTTCCCCACTCCTAGAACTTGTCTGAGTCCAGCCTGTGCACTTAGTTCCCTGATACCTGGAGCCAGCTGGCAGCTGCTGACTCAGGAGCATTTTATCTTTCATCTGCCAGGTGGGCCTGGATGCAGTCTCCGCCTGTAGCCTGCTGGCAGGCTGACCCTGGCTGTGCAGACTCTCCTGCCCCCCTTCACAGGGCTTCTTGGTCTGTTCTGCATTTGTTCACTCATGCAGCTCATTGAGGGGCTTTCTTGGTGGCTCAGATGGTAAAGAATCTGTCTGTAATGCAGGAGACCCGGGTTTGAGCCCTGGGTCAAGAAAATCCCCTGGAGAAGGCAGTGGCAACTCACTCCAGCATTCTTGCCTGGAGTATTTGATGGACAGATGAGTCTGGTGGGCTACAGTCCATGGGGTTGTAGAGTCGGATAGGACTAAGTGACTAACACACACACAGAGTTCATTTATCCCCCTGTTACCAGTTTGCTCACTCACTCATGCGTGCAGTGCCCGTTCCATCCCTGGGGCCATGTCCATGAGCGAGTCTGGGAATGGACGAGCCTGAGATGGGATTATGATGCATAGACAGGGGCAGAATGATACAGTGGGCCACACAGGGGCTGTGCTTTGGTGGAGTTCCCTAAATTCCGAGCCATAGAGGACTTAATGAAGACCAGCCCCCCTTGCTGAGTAAATGGGGAAAGGGAGGCCCAGGAGGCCACTGCTGATGGGGCCCCCCTGCCCTGCCCACCACCCCAGCTCAGTTCTCCCAGCCCTGTCTGCAAGCATAACATCATGTTGCCCAGACCTGAGTCAGTGACCCTGGAGCTGGGTTAACGAGGAGGACACTAGACTTGGGTAATGATATTCTTAGTGACCCAAACATGGATTCAGAAGGAATTATACAAACAAGACTGGAAGGCCTTTCCCTCAGAGATCTCCAAACCCTTCACTTTATAGTCATGGAGGTCAGGGCCCAGGAAGCCCGGTCACATGTGGACCTGGAAGAAGCCCCAGGACCCAAGCCACAGTGTCCAGCCTCCTGGTCTCCGGCTAAATCCACTGCCCAGCCATCCTGGATGTTCAAATACAAAAAAAAAAAAAAAACCCATTTGCCAGAGGAAAGACATTTTAAGAATGTTTTCCCTTCCCTGGCAGTCCTGTGATTGGGACTATGTGCTTTCACTGCGGAGGGAGTCAGTTTGATTCCCTGGCCGGGGAACTTCATTTCCCAACCAGCATGGTGTGGTGTTTTCCTAGAAAAGTGAAAAAGCAAACAAAAAGTATGTTAGGGCTAAAATGAATTAATCAAATGTTTACTTAAGTAATCTATTAAAATTCTATTTTTTCACTTTATTAATTTAGAAACTTGCTCTTTTCCACTGATAGGTTAAGAAATAGTTTTATGCAAATTCTCCGAGTGACTGACTGGTGGAGTTACTATCAGGCTAATGCATCTTCTTTTTAAATTTGTTCTTAATTGGAGGATAATTACTTTACAATGTTGTGTTGGTTTCTGCCATACAAAAACATGACTCAGCCATAAATATATATATGTCTTGTCCATCTTGAACCTCTCTCTCTCCCACCCTCCACCCCATCACACTTCTGTAGGTTCTTTATACATACATACATATATATATATATATGCATTTGGCTGTATCAGGTCTCAGTTGTGGCACACGGGATCTTTGTTACATCATGTGGGATCTTTCATTGCAGTGCATGGACTCTCTAGTTGGGACACACAGGCTTAGCTGCTCCACTGCATGTGGAATATTAGTTCCTGGACCAGGGATGGAACCTGTGCTGTTGCAAGGTTGGATTCTTAATCACTGAACCACCAGTGAAGTCCTCCGGCTAATGTATATTGCAAACTGTTTACATTAACACATTGAGAAAGAACAGTGTATATGAGGAAGACTGCCAGGACAGGAATATGGCGTACCTCTCCTAGAATTCTGGAAAAGAGCCTCCCCTAAGATTCAGGCCCATGAACTGGTTTTGAGCACCTGCCATGCCTGGGCCATGTGTGGTTGCAGCCACTTGGACTCCCTCGCTGGGTCAAAGGCCTCACTACTGCCTCCTTCCAAGCCAGGGACCCTATTTTTTAAGGTGACTGAACATTATAACCAAGGACTCTAGAGTGCATCAGAAAGTGAGTCTAGTGGTCATCGGTCAGCCAGCATCTACTGAGCATTTGCATGGCTGAGCACCAGGATAGGTACAAAGGGAACTGAAGTGTGTGCAGCAAGTCCTAGAATGGAAGAATAAAGGAGAAATTAGGAGCTTAGCATAGGAAATCAGAATGGCCAGGAGGCAGTGCGTGTTGACTGAGATTTTGCAATATATCAGGTATTACACACAAACGTCCTGTCTACTCCTCATAACTGTTAATATCAGGGGGCAGGATTTACCACTAATTCCAGTTTCTTTTTGTCTGAAAGCTAATAGTGTGCATCTTAAGACTAATTACTTGACCTTCCTAGGCTTCAATTTCCTCCTCTGTGAACAAAGACTATCTACGCCATAGGATTATTGGGAGAATTGACTTCTGTTCTAAGCACTTTGCATGTATCAGCTTAGCTTAGGCTAACAAATCCTCAGTCAATGCTTGCTCTTATTATTACAACATAGGAGGAAGTTGAAACTGAGATAAGTGATGACGAGCCCAGGGTCACACAGCCAGAGGGAAGAAGAATTGGCCATGCTCTGTGCTCTGCTCACAACCTGCAATTTGGAAAGGGTTATGAGTGGAAGGTTTGCCCTCACCACAGATCCATGGCTGGTCTTGGCTGCCCTCTGTGCTTTAGAGAGGCAAGGCCAACTGTCCAATGCAGGGTGACTCCAGGTCATCTGCAGCCATGTGCCTGGCCAGCCCATGAAGGGAGCTTGCAGAGAGAAACAGCAGTCACTTTCTTCTGAGGCCTGGAGAGCTGGGTTGGGCCTCCTGCTGTTATGTCCGAGTCTCAGTTTCCTCATTTGGAAAGGGGGACACTAATGTTTTTCTGCTCAATCTGCGGTGTGACTAAGCAAGTTAGAGGCTAGAGGATGGTTTTGTCACACTATACTCTTGTGCTCATATAAGCAGAGTTAAGGCCCATGACTTTTGGATAGGGTGGATGTTTTGATTTCACGGGGGAGGGGTGGCAGGCTGTAGTGAGTTAGATTCCAGTTCAAAGTGAAAATGAACAATCTCATGGCTCCGGTCATAGGAGCAGAAGGAAGTGGTCCAGTGGGTGAGCACCAGTCAGGAGAGTGCAGAGGGGGCCCTGCCCTGAAGGGGGATTGAAGGTGGCCTAGTTGAGACAAGATGACCTCCCATGCTCTTCTCCTCCTCCCTCCTCGCATGCTGGGGCAGAAGGGACTTAGTAAATGTTTCCTCTCAAAGTGGAGTTGCAAGCAGGGCCTAACTCAGAACTCAGAAGGCCTTGTTCAGTTGACTCTGCCACTAACTTGTGCAACTTTGAACCTCTCACTAGGGTTCATTTTTCTAATTATTATTAAGTATAGCAAACGCAGTTTGCCAACTGAAAATGTGGCAACGCAAGGGATTATTATCTTCTCAAGATTGTTGGCTGAAACACTGGGTCAATGGTAAAGACAAAGCTTTATAACTCATGGGATTACAGGCTAGAGTTGAGAGGGACCTCAGGATTAATCCAGCAACTGCATGGATAATACATCTGGGGACTACATTTTGTGATTTACAAAGCATTCTGTTTAGCCTTGTCTCCTTACAATAACACCTCAAATCTACAGAAAAGAAGATGGATCCTGTTAACTTGTATAACTTAGGCAACTTAACATATCAGTCTAGAATCCTAACTGGAGGTGAGAGAGAGGTGGTCCTAGGCTGGAACCCCAGCCCCAATGGCACCATGGGCAAGTTACTTTAGCTGTGTGCACTTCAGTTTTCTCATTGGTAAAATGAGAATGTTAAAGCACTGATTGTACGGCCCGGGCGAAAGAGCTCAGTGTAATCCTTGATGCAAAGTGAGTGCTCTTAAGTGTTAACTAACAAACCGATGGCAACACATGACTGAGAAATTGCAGAACTGGACTTCTGGCTGCCATCTGATAGCTCTTTGCCCCACACTAAGCTGTTTCATTGCGTGACCCTCTTCCCTTGTTCATTTCACAGCTGAGGCACCCATGTTAAAGAAGCAAGTTGGGCATTAAGACACAGATAGCCAAGGGGCAGCTTGATCTTAGGTGACCTGAGAGAATTAATTATTGCCTGGGGGTCAAGTGCACCAGCTGCCAAAGGAAAAGGTTGCCCTCTAACTAGCTCTGCAAGCTGATGAAGGAGGAGCCCGGCTCTTACTGAGGCAGTCACGGAGCACTGAAATGACAGTCCTAAGTCTGGCAGTTCTGTCCCTGGGCAGATGGATCACCTGATACAGGATGTTGGGACCCAAGCCCTAGGATTGGCTTAAAAGAGGGCTGTGTTGACCTACCGGCTGGTTCTTGGCATCCTGTCAAACTGCTGTGCATACTGACATAAAAATAACAGCCTGGAAACAGGGCCAAGGCAGTCTGCGGGACTCCGTATGGAAGATAAAGCCACCATGCAGGTGCTGACCAAGCGCTACCCCAAGAACTGCCTGCTGACCGCCATGGACAGGTACTTGGCCGTGGTGCGCAACATGGAGCAGGTGGTGATGATCCCCAGCCTTCTGCGGGACATGCAGCTGAGCGCACATGGGTACCAGGCCCAGGCGGGCGCCTCCGATCTCTACAGCTACTTCACCATGCTCAAGGCCATCCGCATGGATGTGGAGCACGGGCTGCTGCCCCGGCAGGAGTGGCAGGCCAAGGTGGCAGGGGGCAAAGCCAATGGAGCTGAGACTGAAGCTGGAGAGACGGAAGAGGCTGAGGAGGAGAGGGTGTCGGGGCAGCTGGACCTGGAAGCCCAGTTACACCTGCACTTCGCTAGCCTTCATCACATCCTCACCCATCTTACCCTGAAAGCCGAGGAGGTGACAAGGAGATACCAGGAGAAAACGGGACAGGCCATGTAGGAAAGGTAATGGTGGCCATGTTGATGTCCACCGAGGGCATTCCAGGGGAGGAAGGGAGCAGTGGTGAACCCAGGGGGAGAGGGCAAGCCCGGCTCTCAGACAGCCACCCTTGCCTTCGGGGATTGAGACCACAACCCAGGAAGGCCCAAGGCCAGGCCTGCCTTACTCTCCTTCTGACCCAGAATTGGTGAGTAATTATGGTGAACTATTATGGAAAAATAAGGAAAAGTGGTTGGTGTGTGCATGCCTTATGTCCACTTGTATGTATCTGTGCATTTATTAGTAAGTATGCAAATAACTTCCCTGACAGTTCAGATGGTTAAGAATCTGCTTGCACTGCAGGAAACCCGGGTTCAATCCGGGTGGAGAAGATCCCCTGAAGGGCGTGGCTACCCACTCCAGTATTCCTGCCTGGAAAATTTCATGGACAGAGGAGCCTGGTGAGCTACAGTCCACGGGGTTGCAAAGAGTCAGGCATGACTGAGCAACTAATGTTTTGTATCACTTCATGTGAATATTTGGAGCTGTATGAACTGAACAAGTGTGTTCTCACCATTGACTACTTTAAGAATCTGATTAAAGCCAAGGACTCTCTCCCCAGGGTCCAGGCATATAGACATATATATGACTGTATATGTGGAGAAGGCAATGGCAACCCACCCCAGTAATCTTGCCTGGAAAATCCCATGGACGGAGGAGCCTGGTAGGCTGCAGTCCATGGGGATACAAAGAGCTGGACACAACTGAGCGACTTCACTTTCACTTTTCATTTTCATGCATTGGAGAAGGAAATGGCAACCCACTCCAGTATTCTTGCCTGGAGAATCCCAGGGACGGGGGAGCCTGGTGGGCTGCCGTCTGTGGGGTTGCCCAGAATCGGACACGACTGAAGTGACTTAGCAGCAGCAGCAGCATGACTGTACATGCAAACTTCAGAGAATACGCCATCTACCAAGGCCCATCCATGAATTCTAAAATAAGAACCTCTGATGTCACATATTCATAATAGCTTCTATCTGAGCACATAATAAATGTCAATATAGTCCCTACATGCTTGAGATAGGATGAATTCACTTAATCTTCATAACAATTCTAGGAAGATAGGTTTTATTATTTCTATTTTATAAATGAAGAACCTTATCCGAGGCACGTGTTTACTTGTGTGTTGAATGTGAGTTTTGTGTGTGTGTGGCACTGCTTCCAACATTTTTTCAAGTTATGGGATATGGAGAATTATATTTATATGGCATCCGGGGATATATGGGTGAGGCTGCTGGGGTACATGAGTGAGGCTGCTCACCATAGTCCCACGACTAGCAGAGGTGCTCTAGCCATCCCAAGTTGCAGCCAACCAGGCAGAAAGTTAAAGGACCACCGTGTGGACACTCTAACTCGTTCTAGGCACACCAGTGAAAAGGCACCTCCTGGGGAGCCCATTTGGGAGGACATATACATACAAGTTGGGATCTGAGCCCAGAAGGGCTGGGGCCGTGAGATGTAGGTGAGCAGGAAGCTAGACAAGCAGGTGGCGTCTCACAGCGTGGGAGGAGGGAAGGGGGCCTGGGACAGCCGGGTGGGTCACTCCTAGGTGAAGACTGGGAGAAATTTGGCCACAACACCTGCTGGTTTTAATCCTGTGTCACATGCCAGCCCTGTTCCCATTAGCTGGCTTCATTAGTGATAAACCATGCCCATGTCCATGGGAATCTCAAAGCACCTGATGTAGGTTTTTGGGCAGAATCTTTATCCTCTTTTTACCTGTAAGGAAATTAAATCCAGATAGAGGAAGTGTCTCACCCGAAGTCACATAGCTGTTTAGTCGCCTAGTCGTTTCCAACTCTTTTGACCCCATGGACTCTAACCAGGCTCCTCTGTCCATGGGATTTCCCAAGCAAGAATACTGGAATGGGTTGCCATTTCCTTCTCCAGGGGATTTTCTTGACCCAGGGATTGAACCTGAGTCTTCTGCATTGCAGGCAGATTCTTTATGGCTGAGCCACCAGTGAAACCCCACATAATTGGTAAGGGGATAAAAAAAGCAAGAGTGGCCCCAGAGCTGGGCATTCTTTTTTTTTTTTTTTGGTCTTTGTTGCTGCGTGGACTTTCTCTAGTTGCAGTACACGGGTTTCTCACTGGGGTAGCTTCTCTCTCTCTTTTTACAGTACATGTGAAAATGCTTGGAAATTTTTATTTTCGGCTGCACTGGGTGTCTGCTGCTGCATGCAGGCTTTCTATGGTTGCAGTGAGGGGTGGCTGACTCTAGCTGTGGTGTGTGGGCTTCTCACTGCAGTGGCTTCTCTTGTTGCAGAGCACGGGCTCCAGGGTGCACAGGGTTCGGTAGTTGCACCACACGGGCTCAGCAGCTGTGGCGTGCAGGGCTTAGTGAGAACTTCCCGGACCAGGGATCGAACCTGTGTCCTCTGCACTGGCTGGCGGATTCCTAACCACTAAACCACCAGGGAAGTCTGACCTGGGTATTCTTTCCATCAGATTTACTCTCTGCCATATTGTGTTATCTTCATGATTTCCCGGAGGCCACTCTGTAATGATGGGTAATACACATGGATCCTAAAAACACAGTCTAGAGAGTTCTGCTCCAGGGATTTTCTCAGCCATTTTCCCTTTCCCTACCTTAAATCTGGTCTTCCCAGGTGGCTCAGTGGTAAAAGAAATCTTCCTGCCAATGCAGGAGACTTGAGTTAAATCCCTGGGTCAGGAAGATCCCCTAGAGAAGGCAATGGCAATCCGCTTGCCTAGAAAATCCCATGGACAGAGGAGCCTGGGGGCTACAGTCCATGCGGTTGAAAAAGAGTTGAATATGACTCAGTGACTAAACAACAGCAACTTCAAACCTACACCTAAACTGCCAGCTTCAACCCGGTGTCCCTCTCCTCTTGAAGCTCCCTGAGCGGCCTTTCAGAGGTTATTCTTGAATGAAAGGGGGCTGGGTCAAGAGCTCTGGGTTCAAGTTCTGATTCCACCACTAATGAGCTGTGCAGTCTGTTTTTGCTCACTTCTCTGGGTGTCAGTTTATTCACTGAATAATAAAGGTATTAGTAAAAGGATTGGCACTTGAATAGTTTTATCATTTAAAATTACGTGCATATCAATGATCTAATGGGATTATAATCCCCTTTTACACATGAAAAAAACTGGAGGTCTGAGAGAGAAAACGAGTCTGAGGTTACTCAGGAAATGGCCAAGCCAAGATGTGAATGGACCCTGGCCCAACTCACATCTAATTCCTTTCCTCTACACTACGGATTTCCTTAGCACTTTAGAACTCTGCAGCCAGGGCTGGAGGTAAGAATTAGGGATGGCAGAGCAGTGAGACTCGTCACTCCTTGACCAACCAAACCTCCTGGAAGACAAGAGCAGCCAGTTCTACACTGTGACACATTTCAACACACTCTAACTTGTTTTTTGTGCAGAAGTTAAAAAAAAAAAAAGGTATCTAGCCTCTTGTCCTGGCTCTGCACTGACCTCTCTATGTCCTGGACAACTTATTTCACCTTTCTGTAGTTTTCCTGTTAGTAAAAGGTAGAGATGAAGCTAGGTGATGTATTGCAGTTCTGACCACCAGATTCTTCTCATAGTGCTGTAAGGCAACTAGGGTTTTCCTACAAAGAGCACCATTGTGCTTTTTCAATAGGTTTCCTATTTCAATAGACATGTGACAGTACGTTAATAGTGTGAACTTAATACTGACTTGTCTTTTTAAATTTGTGCACCCACAGCTTACTCCACATGATAGAAGGCAGTCTCTGTGATGAAGACATGGAGCAGTTTGCTAGCCTGGTGACGCTAAGACCCAAAAGACCTGCACCTGCAACTGCAAGTGAAGATGATTTGGATGTCTGGGATTCCTACCTTCCTCTGAGCACCAGTTCCTGGACTCATCACTGCGTCAGTGAGGCTGCCTGCTGCTGTTCACGACTCCTCGCTCCTCTTACTAGCTTGGGGCGGAAGCCAGTGATTCATGAGGGACCCCGTCTGTCACCTGGTCAGTGTACTACAGCAGAAATACAAGTTCTAGCATCTGACTAACCGAGGCTCACATCCTTCTCTCTTGGCAGTCACTCACTGCAATCATGGGCAAGTTATTTAACCCATCGTGGCCTAAAGTTCCTCATCTATAAAATGGAGACAGTGTTCCCTATCTCATGAAGTTGCTTTGAAAATTAAACAGTAAGTCAAAAGCATCTGGCGTGTGAGAGCTGTTATTATAGGTCTATTTCTTCTCCCACGCTCACCTTGTTATTTGTTCTAGTCCTCCCTTACTTTCTACCCTCCAGAACTAAGAAGCAGCAGAGTCCTCAACCCTGAGTGGTTCACACTCCTATGCCTATTGAGCAGAGATAAACTATAACTTATTTATTGCAGCAGCAATAAAAATACCTTGTATTTGTACATATCTTTATTAACTTCTGAAGTACTTTCTCAGACATGATTTCATTTTGAACAAGTAGGACTCAAGAGAAGAGAGGTGGAACCATGTGATTTTGTCCATCTACTTTTATTCATACTGCCGCCTAATCTGAAATCACATGTAAACAATTTTATTAATCTCCAAAACCTAATCTGATTATGAAATCTGAGCTTAGAAACAAGAACTTGGGACAAGTTTTTGGACTTGATAAGCCATAAAGAGTAAAACGTCATTCTAGTTAGATGGGATCTTTTACTTCTAATCCACAGTAGATGGGCTTCTCTGCGGGCTGAGATGGTAAATAATCTGCTTGCAATGCAGGAGACCCTGGTTCAGTCCCCTGGAGAAGGGAATGGCTACTGACACCAGTATTCTTGCCTGGAGAATCCCATGGACAGAGGAGCTCTGAGGGCTAGAGTACCTGGGGTTGCAAAGAGTTGGACACAACTTAGCAACTAACACTTTCACTTTCCACCGCAGACAGTGTCAGCTACTGAGCTCACTTTCCTCAGATGTCCCAACTAAGAGCAGAGACTCCTTTGCTAAATCAGTCTCCTAGCTATTCTCCTGGTCGTGAGCTTCCTCCTTTTAAACCACCCTCTATGGTGTTGTAGAGAGCTCAGCAATATAAGCATGACCGTGTTATCCCTATTTAAAATCCTTTAGTGACCTTCCACTACCTAGAATCGAGTCAAAATTATTCTACATGACTCACAAAATCTTCCATCATCTGGCTTGCTTGGTTTACTCTGCACTAGAACTGGAGCAGGTGAAACTCTTCTGTAAAAGGCCATATATTAAATATTTCAGGCTTCACAGACCATAAGGTCTTTGTCATAACCACTCAACTCTGCTGCAGAAGGAAGCAGCCGTTCACATGTAAACAAATGAGCCTGGTTGTGTCCAATAAAACTGGATTGGCAGTGAGCCAAATGTGGCCCACAGGCTATTAGACTGCCAACTCTGAACTAGAATTAAACTCCATTTTAAAATCTGCCAGATGTCTTCTCAAAACTAGCTAAATGGAAACTGACCATTCTCTGATGAACTGTTTTTTGACGAAAAGGAGTCAGAGTGCTTATAATGACCATTTTAATCACAAGGTGTTAACGTTAAGAGATTAACATAAACTTCAGATCATAGAAACAGTTTGACAAAATACAGAAATGACCGGTATTGATGAAACCGGAGCAAGCGTTTTGGAGACTTCAACGCACCGGATGGAATTCTTCAAAAACTTCCCTGTAACTTTTCTTATCTATAAAAAGAAAAATCACAAAAGATTTTAAAATCATGTTTAAAAAATCATACTTCCTGAAGAAACATTAACAGTTAATATTCTTATAAGAACTGCTTTATTTTCTAGTCCTCAACCTAGCTTCCCAACCAGGCATTTTGTTCCACTGAATGAAGAACTGCTTTGAAAGAATCTATGATGATGATACCAAGGCCTGAACCAGGGTAGTGACAGTGGCGGAGAGGAGAGTTCAGAGTTGAGAATTATTTAGGGATTAGAACGGTAAGACTTTATGACTAATGAGAAGTCAAAGAGACAGACAGCCATGAAGATGATTCCCAGGCTTCTGGCTGGAGCACCCAGGTGGACAGTAGTGCCATTCACTGAAGCAGGACACAGAGGTACTCAGTCAGAAACTGGATATATGAATTCAAGAGAATTCTGGTCTACAGACAAAGAGGTGGAAATCAACAGAACACAGAAGGAACTGAAGTCACAGGCAAGGGAAAGATTAACTAGCAAAAATGGTACAGAGTAAGAAAGAAGTTTTCTACAATGAACTTGAAATACCTTTTTCAGGAAAATCCTCTGGATGTGACTTTATATATGAGAACATATCGTGGTCCCTCACAGCATACATATAGTCTTGACGTTTTAAAAGATAATATCCAACAAAAACAAAGGAAGTAATATATAGAAGCTGGCGATGCAAACCTGAAATTGAAACCACAAATTCCAAAGAAAGCAAAAATCAGTCTTGTGTGTTAAAAATCACATTTTTAAGGTTTCAGATACATAGTTTGTAATTTCTTCCAACATTCTTAAAAAAAAAAAAAAAGCTGTTGTATATTGGTATTCTGAACACACAGCCATGACCTTGGAACATCTTCCTAAGGATATCTGGCAACTACGAAAAGCAACATTTTGTCTATAAATGTAACCATCAACAAATCTAAAATTTTTTCAATTCATGTTTTATAAGTTTCTTCAAGGAAAAAGGAGGATAAGCACAAAAACTTGAATGGTAGACTGACACAGGAAAAAAAAAGTCTTCTTTTTCAACAGGCTACCTTTAGACTTTAGACCTACACTAACTTGCATTCCAGGACTTGCTCAGGACATGACAAGTAGAGGCTAAAGCCCTCTACAAACGGTCTAAGAGCAGTTTGGTTTGTGTCCATATACTGATTTGTATTTATATATCTAGTGGTTACTAAAACGGTACACCATACTACAAATACATCTCATTCTCTTGTATCTTCTGAATTTTGTAATTTTGCAAGTATTACCTACTCAAAAACTATCTTTAAAAAAATCCTCCTCCTGGGACTTCCCTGGCGGTCCAGTGGTTAAGACTCCGTGCTTCTACTGCAGGGGGTGTGCATTCGATTTCTGGTCAGGGAACTAAAATCCCACATGCTGATCAGCGCGGCAAAAAAATACAATCATCCTATTATAATAAGACTGGAGAGGATCAAATCACATGATCTAGCAAAGCCAAAATTTTAAATGTGAAGGGGAGATCCAAAGGTATTGACTTTATATATATATATATATTTTTTACAAAAGTCTAAGTGTAGATTTTATAGCTATGCCTCAGAATTTTATTTCCAGCTGTTTTCTTACCCCACACATGCTTTCGTTCCTATGGTTTTATCTATTATCTATGTACTGGTAACCCATTAGTAATGCCCAACTCAGATACTTATCTGAACAACAAATATATCCAAATATTTGACAGATACGATAACCTGAATTCTCCCAAACAAACTCAGTTCCTTCCTATTCATATCTCTTTTTCCTAAAAGACCATTTACCCAGAAATCCAAGTCCTGCTAATAAGCATACTAATTATCTTTTTTTTCCTACCCTCATCCTCTACATTTAGTCACTGTCGATTCTACCTGATAAATATTCCCTTTGCTCACTTCAGGGAACTCATGCTCATTTATATAACTGGTTTACCTTTCATCTCATTTTCTATTCCACATTGATTCCAGCTTTTACCCTGTCACTAGAGGAATTTTTACTAAAACACAAATTAGTTTGTCTGTCCCTTCTTCAGTTATGGTTAACAAGACCCCAGTGTCCTGCATGTGACCTCCCAGGCCCTTCATGAGCTGACTCCTCCGCCTTCATCGTCTGACACTCCCTGGTTTGCATATTGTGCCCAGCAACACTGAACTACTTCTAATTCCTCACATAACCTAGGCTCCTTCATGCTTCTATACACTGTGTACTGATTACTTCTCTGCCCTGCAATGTCCTGATCCTTCAAGGCTCAACTCGCATATCACTTCTGCTAAGACGTCTTCCTAAAACTTTCCTGGAGTTAAAAGGATGAATTCATCCCTCATAATATGTAAATTGCTATAGTAATTATTTTTCCCTCTACTACCAGGCAAAGTCAGTGTTTCACTCACCTTTGTATATCAACACACAGACAGCACTTAATAAATATACAATAAATGGGTGAATGGCCTTGGGCAAATCAATATACTACCTCTAAAATAAAGATAATACCTAACCGTTTTTCACAGTAGTTATTAGAAGTGTTTTGGGAAAAAATGTAAAACAATAAAAATACAAAATATCACTATGACCTGGGATTGGACAGTGCTCAGACTATTTTGCATTCTCCCTTATCCTGAAAGGGACTTCCCTGATAGCTCAGTTAGTAAAGAATCCGCCTGCAATGCAGGAGACCCTGGTTCAATTCCTGGGTTGGGAAGATCCCCTGGAGAAGGGATAGGCTACCCACTCCAGTATTCTTGGGTTTCCTTTGTGGCTCAGCTGGTAAAGAATCCACCTGCAATGCCGGAGACCTGGGTTCGACCCCTGGGTTGGGAAGATCCCCTGGAAAAGGGAAAGGCTACCCACTCCAGTATTCTGGCCTGGAGAATTCCATGGACTGTATAGTCCATGGTATCACAAAGAGTAGGACACCGAGCAATTTTCACTTCACTTCACTTTACCCAGAAAGGAGCTTCCCAGGCGGCACTAGTGGTAAAGAACCCACTCGTCAATGCAGGAGACATAAGAGATGCAGGTTTGATTCCTGGGTCAGGAAGATCCCCTGGAGGAGAGCATGACAACCCACTCCAGTATTCCTGCCTGGAGAACCCCATGGACAGAGGAGTCTGGTGGGCTACAGGCCACGGGGTCACAAAGTGTTGGACCTGACTGAACTGACTTAGCACTGACTAGCACAGCACTTAGCCCAGATAGCCATGGGTTCCCCTAATGAGCCACCTGTAATGCAGCGAACCAGTGTGCTGTGCTCTCCCACCTGCCACTGGACTACACAGATAAAAGACCCAGACTCTGTGTTTACCCATATCCTGCAGAGAAGATTTCAATGGTATCAGTGTCCCAAACCCTAAAGGCATGGCTTGGCCTCTTCTCAAGTCTTCATTTCTCTAGCCTCTTCTCTTTCAGCAGTGGTCTCTCACCATATACACAATCCCTTCACAATCATTTTCCTCTTTTTCCTTTTTCTCAGTTGACCTAAACTTGAAAGCCACAGTGCTCTTTGAGGAACACAGTAAACTGCTCTTATGTTAGACTAGAAATCAATACAGATTTAGTTTTGCAGACTACACTTAGATACTAACTAAGTCTAAATTAAGGGCAGGTGAGTGATATCCAGAAATAAGGGTTTAAAAATAGGTGATGGGAGAAAAGCTTAAGAAAAAACTGTATTTAATATTTTCTGTGTACTTGAAAAAGATCTGCACAGCTTGATTTTATTGACAGAATATCCTGACTACCTAGAGAATACCAGATACTCTCCACGACCACAGCTGGAAAAATCCACCATGTATTCCTCCTTCCCCATTCCTCCTACTCTATTTGCATAAATTTGTATCAGAATTCATCTTTTTCATAGATATGCCCGCCTGGTTTGTAAATCTCTGGATGGTTCTCTATTTCCTTGTTATCTACACACTCATTCAATAAATACTCACTGAGCATTACTATTCGGCAGACACTGAACGAGATAAACACAGCATGCATTCAATAAATGCTGCTGAGGATAATGATTTCAATAAAGTCCTCAAGGCCTGAATTTTCCAAAGCGACAAAGGAAACTCAGAGAACTCAGGAACTCTGATCCCTAGGCCTGGGCTAAGTGCTTTACATTCATCATCTCCCCTAGTTCTCAGTCACACAAAGAGGTAGATACTATCCCTATTTCACAGATGAGGAAACTAAAGCTCACAGAGATAAGCATCTTCTCCAGAATCAAATGGTGAGTAGGGAGGAGGAGGTGCATCAAATCTGAAAGCTTGGGCTCTTAACCACTATGTTCTTCGGTCTCCCAGAAAAGGCACAAAACATTCTTTGACAACAAGGTGAGATTAAGTGATACAAACTTCAAATTTCAGCCAACCTTTTCTTCTTCTGGAACACCATCTCTCTGATCTGAACCTTCTTCAGGCTCCCAAAGTACTGCCTGCTCACCCAGCTATCAAAATACCTGTCACGCCTAGACTCATACCTACTTGTCTCACTGACCCAATTAGGAGTTCCTCAAGAGCAGGTCAGTATTCCTCCTCTCATACCCAATGTGTAACACTGCCTGGCACAGAGAAAAAGCTCAGTTAAGACTGAACAAATATATGGTAAACTGTGCAACAAGAGCTAAGGAAAGGGAAGCCCATCGGCACCTTCTGTGTAGGCATATTTACCTATAGATTCTTACTTAATTCTCACAAAAAAATTTGCAAAGATGAATTATTCTCACTTTCTAAGTGAGTAAACTTAAGCTCTGATCAAGTAACTTGCCCAAAGTGACAGAAGTGGGAAGCAGTGGGGCAAGGCCATTTAACTCCAAAGTGGACCTCTTTCCATTACACCAAGTCACAGGCCTGGGCAGGTGTGGAGTGGTGATAGAAAGGAAGAACACTCCACAGTTCCTAGTGGCAGAAATGGACAAAGACTGCAGTGGGGTCATGTCCACAGCAGATGGGATTTCAAGTCTATTTGAGCCCTGGAAATGCTGACATCTGGTGGGTTGGGAGTCAACCTCCGGGCATACATATACCTGGAAGGCAAAAGAGGCCCAAGGGAGGTAATTTCTGGTTGCCGCAAAGAGTGTAAGCTGTTCAGTCGTGTCCGACTCTTTGCGACCATGTGGATTGTAGCTGGCCAATCCTCTGTCCATGGAATACTCCAGGTAAGAATACAGGAGTGGGTTGCCATTTCCTTCTCTTGGTTGCCTGAACCACAGTATTAGTTTTCTTCCTAACTGGGCTTTTTGGCTCCAGTTTCTAACAAAGTTGACCTTTTAAAACACAAGTCCAATCACTGCGTTTCCTTCAGCAGCTTTCAAAAAGTATGTAAGGTTCCTGTCTGGCCTGGAGAATAAACTGCCACAATCTACCTAAATCTTTGTTGCCTTATCACCCTACTCTGACTCACTCATCATCTACTGCCCCCCATTCCCATGCTCTTGTTCCCATTCACTCTCACTAGCCTCCCATGGCCTGGAAGGCTCTCTCCAAGTATTCCTCTGACAGATCATGGCTAAACTAAAAAATATCTCTTACAAAGTTTCCCTCTTTTTCCTTAGGAAATCCACAGACTTTAGCACAGCTGCTGTGTCTCTTGGGCTTCCCAGGTGGCTCAGAGGTAAAGGATCTGCCTGCCAACGCAGGTTCCATCCCTGGGTGGGGAAGATCCCCTGGAGAAGGAAATGGCAACCCACTCCAGTATTCTTGCCTGGAAAATCCCATGGACGGAGGAGCCAGGCTGGGCCCATGGGGGTAGGAAAGAGTCAGACACGACTGGGCATGCACACAGTCTGTCGCTTATTATCACGGTTGGTCTCTGACACGCACTTACTGGGAAATACAGCCCAGTGATTTACAGCCTGCTACTCAACGTGAGGTTCCCAGACCAGCAGTGTCTGGGAAACTGGGACCACGAGGAGAGCTCTCTCCAGGGCTAATTAATTATAATCTGCATTTTAACAAGACCCTCAACTTATTAGTATGCACATTAAATCTGAGAAGTGCTGGTTCTCAAAGCAGACTCTTGGGGTTTACAAACAGACCGTGCTACTTACGACCTTGGTCAAGCTGCGTTAACCTTTCTAAGGCTGTTTCCTCATTGTGGCTAATACTCCCCGCTCTGTCTTACCCCACGGCGTGTGATGACTAAAAATGCTATAATGCATGTAGTATTAATAAAGCCCTGGATAGACTGATCACTCATTTTTGCACCCTACAACGCGAACTGAGAGGGGAGCAAGCAGTTCCGTCCAGGGTCCTTCACAGACTCACTGCGAGGTCGTGGGTTGCACTGAATCTGTTTCCTGAAATGGCCAGATTCTGAGAAGCTCAAGGGGAGCGGATACCTGAGAGAGGCGAGACGGGGCCAGTTAACGCGAAAAGGCCCGGAAAAGCGAAGGCACCTCAGGCAGCCTAAGGCAGAGCCGGCCCTCAGCCCTACGACCCCAGCTCCTCCCGGCCGATCCCGTCCGCGCAGCCCTCACCGGCCGACAGCACCGGCCTCCGCCGGATCGCGTTATCAATCAGGCCGGAGCAGTAGCCCAAGAAGCCGACGAAGGCGAGCCGCGGGTCAGTCAGTTTCGGCGGCGGCAGGCTCCGCGCCTGATCAGGCAGGAACTGTAAGGGCGCTCGGGCCTGCCGTCCAGTCATCATGGTGACGCCGTTTCCACTTGAGGCCTGGCCTCAGGCCTTCAACTACAAAGAAAACCACCAGGACCACTGCAGGGGCCCAGGCTCGAAGCTTTCACCTCCGAGCGCCGGTCTGAAGGGCATGGCGCAGGGCGGTGCGGCACGCAAAGCCTTCCCCGGGCGCGCTGCTGCCGGAACCGCGCGCGCGAGGTTCCGGGTTACTAAGTGTCCCACGTCGCTAGTCTCCCGGCCGGCGCTAACGCCACGAGTGGAAGTTCACGGGCTAGGTACCTATCGAGCAGTACAGGAAACGAGCCAAACCCGGAGAAGACTAGGAGACGTTGCCTTTTTTCACCCAGTCTCCCTCGCCCGCTGGAGAAGGAAACGGCAACCCACCCCAGTGCTCTTGCCTGGAGAATCCCTTGGACAGAGAAGCCTGGCGGGCTACAGTTCATGGGGGCGCAAATAGTCTGACTGAGCGACTGACACACACCCTTGCCCGCAATTGTCTCTGCTTCCTCTGCCCTAGAATGTTCCTTCGGCAAGACTTTATTTTTGTACCCAAAACCCCAAGTGGGCTTGATGGGAAGTTTTAAGCAACGTAATTAATTGACATCAAATAAAGACTAGTTTTCTTTTTCTGAGTTTTCCTTCGTTCATCTGCACAGGATCACAACCTTCACAAAGTCTAAAATTAAGGTCCAGCCAGCCATAAAGAATTAGGAGAATCCCAGGGTTGGATCATTTAGCTAAATTCTCGAAATTCGGTCTGGGTCTTCAGGTCCTTACACGTCGCTGAGGCACGAGGTGTTTCCTGAAGATGTGAAGAATGAAGAAAAAAAAAAGAGAGAGAGAGAGAATCTATAATATTCTGCCAAGTAATTCTACAGTCTCTGGTCACCTGTCTCCAATTCCGATCTTTGAAAAGCTCTCTGTTTAGACAGCCATTGCCTATAAGGAGCTTAAATGTCTTCAACAGTTTACTTAGAAGAATGCTGATTAAACCAAAGGTTAACGCAAAGCCGTGTACCTCAGGTACTGATTTCGATTTCCAAAGTGGGAGAACTAAGTATCAGCTAATAAAGGATGAGACTTTTATGCCTACAAAAAGGACTCCCAGATCTGTAACATTTAAAGTTAGGATCTTCCAAAGGTATGTATCCTGGAAGTTTCTCGAAAGGCAGCAAATGTTTTAGGAAGTGCAAGCTGTTACCTGAGAATCTGCCTTATGTAAATACTAGTATGACACATGAAAGAGGTATTTTTTTTTCACAGCCTTTCTTTTTATTTATTTAGCTGTGCCTTGGTTGCTGCCAGCTGATTTTTCTCTAGTTGTGGATCAGGGTTTAGTTGCCTATCAGCATGTGGGGCCTTAGTTCCTTGACCAGGGCGCTAACCTGTATCTCCTGAACTGGAAGTTGGATTCCTAACCAGGGATGTCCTTGCACACTCTTTTTAATTTTTTCAAACCATAGTGTTTCTTTTAAAATCATATCAAAAGAGTGAAAACCATCAAAAACCTACCTTAGGATTATGTTAATTTTGAATATTAGATGGTCTGTTAGGCAAACACAAATATTCAATATTGCTTACACATTCTTCTCCAGTCTTCTCAGTCCACTCTCTTTTAAGAAACTTAAGATGTACAAAAACACAAAGAACAGTATAACAAATACCCATATGCTGTCACCCAGAATTAATTGTCATATTTGTCAATTAAATTGTCATATTTATTTTAAAAGGAAATAAAACACTATATAGAACCCTTTCCCATCCTCCTCACAGACAATCATGAGTTTAGTGTACACTTACAGTTCACTTTTTATATTTTTACATATATTTAGTATGTATTATGGTTGGATCTCCTTGCAGTCCAAGGGACTCTCAAGAGTCTTCTCCAACACCACAGTTCAAAAGCATCAATTTTTTGGCGCTCAGCTTTCTTCACAGTCCAACTCTCACATCCATACATGACCACTGGAAAAACATAGCCTTGACTAGACGGACCTTTGTTGGCAAAGTAATGTCTCTGCTTTTTAATATGCTATCTAGGTTAGTCATAACTTTTCTTCCAAGGAGTAAGCGTCTTTTTAATTTCATGGCGAGACTCTTGAGAGTCCCTTGGACTGCAAGGAGATCCAACCAGTCCATCCTAAAGGAGATCAGTCCTGGGTGTTCATTGGAAGGACTGATGCTGAAGCTGAAACTCCAATACTTTGGCCACCTCATGCGAAGAGTTGATTCATTGGAAAAGACCCTGATGCTGTGAGGGACTGGAGGCAGGAGGAGAGGGGACGACAGAGGATGAGATGGCTGGATGGCATCACCGACTCGATGGACATGAGTTTTGAGTAAACTCGGGGAGTTGGTGATGGACAGGGAGGCCTGGCGTGCTGCAAGTCATGGGGTGGCAAAGAGTTGGACACGACTGAGCGACTGAACTGAACTGAATGTATGCTTTAAAAATTTTTTACCTAAATTTTACGATTCAGTATTTCTGTTTTCTCTCACTTTCATCATTCCACATGTTTTGAGATCCATCCATGATGATGTAGAAAGATCAAGCTCATTCCTTTTGATTACTGTATGATATTCCATTATGTAAGTAAGTTACATTTTAGTCACCCATTATCTTTTTGATGGATATTTAAGTTGTGTTCCATTTCTTTTTCATTTACTTAAGACTGTACTCCAAAGTCTAGGGTCTAGAGAAGCTTTGGGGCATGTGAACCAGGACTAACAGACATACAAGAATATTATACTACAAGGAGAAATATCCATTAGTAATAGCCCCAAACTAGAAACATTTAAAATGTCCATTAAGAGCAGAATAGAGGATAAATTGTCATGTTTTCATTCAAAGATATATCCAGTATGAACTTTAAAAAGAGGATCATGTTAAAAAAATTAAGAGATCAGAGAAAAACAGGGATGTTAGAAGACAATGATTCCATGTATAAAGTTCAATATTAGGCAAATATATACTATTTATAAGTACCCATATTTGTAGTAAAATTATAAAGAAAAGCATGAGCAAGATTAACACAAATATTTAGAATATTTAGTTACCTCTGTGGGATCTTCTTGGACCAGGGATCAAACCCATGTCCCCTGTGTTGGCAAGTGGATTATTAACCAATGGACCACCAGGGAAATCCAGTAACTTTTTTTTTGATAAATTAAAATTTTAACTTTTTAAGTTGTGGTGAAAAACATAAAACTTATTATTTTAACCATTTCTAAGTGTATAGTTCAGTAGTGTTAAGTATATTCACACTGTTGTATAACAGATCTCTAGAACTTTAATCTTGCAAAACTGAAACTTTCTACCATTGAATGCTAATTCCCTTTACCTCCTACCCCCAGCCCTTGGTAACTACCTTCCTACTTTCTATGATTTTGACCACTTCAGATACATAGGAGTGGAATTACACAGTCTTTGTTATTTTGTGACTGGCTTATTTCATTTAGCAGAATGTCCTTGATGTTTATCCATGTTGTTGCATGTGACAGGATTTCCTCCTCCCCCCTGTTTTTTTGGCCTCACCACATGGCTTACAGGAACTTAGCTCCCCAACCAGGGGTTGAGCCCCAGCCCTTGGCAGTGGAAGCATGGAGTCCTAACCACCGGACCACCAGGGAATTCCCAGGATTTCCTTTCAAGGCTGCATTATACTCCGTTGTAAAATGTATACCCAACATTTTATCTATCTGTCCATCTGTTGATGCCATTTGGGTTGCTTCCACCTCCTAGCTATTGAGAAATAATGCTAAAATGGACACAGATGTGCGAAAATCTCTTCAAGATCCTACTTTGAATTCTTTTGGATATATACCCCAAAGTGGGATTGATGATTCATATGGTAATTATGTTTTTGATTTTTTGAGGAACCTTTATACTGTTTCTCCACAATGGCTGAACCATTTTACATTTCCATAGTGCTTAAGGGTTCCACTTTCTCCACATCCTTGCCATCACTTCTTATTTTCTATTCTTTTGATAGTGGCCATCCTGTAAGTGTGTGGTTTTGATTTGCATTTTTCTTATGATTAGTGATGTTGAACATCTTTTCATATGCTTGTAGGCCATTTGTATACATTTGGAGAATTATCTATTCAGTCCTTTGTCCATTTTTAAATTGAGTTGCTTGGTTCTTTTTGTTGGTGGGTTGTAGAATTAATCGCTTATCAAATATATGATTTCCAAATATTTTCTTTCATTCCATAGGTTGCCTTTTCACTCTATTGTTTCTTTTGAAAGTGAAAGTTGCTTAGTCATGTCCAACTCTCTTATGACCCCATGGACTATACAGTTCATGGAATTCTCCAGGCCAGAATACTGGAGTGGGTAGCTGTTCCCCTTTCCAGGGTTCTTCCCAACCCAGGGATCAAACCGAGGTCTCCCACATTGCAGGCGGATTTTTTTACCAGCTGAACTATTGGGAAAGCCCTGTTTATTTTGAGGCTTAGTCCAATTTGTCAATTTTTGCTTTTGGTGCCAGTTTTTGGTGTCATATCCCAGAAAATCACTACCGAATCTAATGTCCTACAGCGTTCCACCTATGTTTTCTTCTTGGAGTCATCTTCCTGGCTCTTACATCTCTCTAGATACTAGAATATAAATTCTTGAGTGCAGGAATGTCTTTCTTGTTCAATTTTGATCTCCAGCACCTAGCAAAGCACATGACAACAGGAACTCAGCAAATATTTGAAGCAATAATGAATTGCTTTTCAAACTTTAGGAAGGATTAAAAGGGGATAATGAAAGAGACACATGTACCCCAGTGTTCATTGCAGCACTGTTTATAATAGCCAGGACATGGAAGCAACCTAGATGCCCATCAGCAGACGAATGGATAAGGAAGCTGTGGTACATATACACTGGAATATTATTCAGCCATTAAAAAGAATTCATTTGAATCAGTTCTAATGAGATGGATGAAACTAGAGCCCATTATACAGAGTGAAGTAAGCCAGAAAGATAAAGACCAATACAGTATACTAATACATATGTATGGAATTTAGAAAGATGGTAACGATAACCCTATATGGAAAACAGAAAAAGAGACACAGGTGTACAGAACAGACTTTTAGACTCTGTGGGAGAAGGCGAGGGTGGGATGTTCAGAGAGAACAGCATTGAAACAAGTACACTATCAAGGGTGAAACAGATCACCAGCCCAGGTTGGATGCATGAGACAAATGCTCAGGGCTGGTGCACTGGGAAGACCCAGAGGGATGGGATGGGGAGGGAGGCGGGAGGGGGGATCGGGATGGGGAACACATGTAAATCCATGGCTGATTCATGTCAATGTATGGCAAAAACCACTACAATACTGTAAAGTAATTAGCCTCCAACTGATAAAAATAAATGGAAAAAAAAAAAAAACCTGTCATGTAGTACACTTTCGGCAGAAAGGGCCACAATGTGGGACCTCCACTGTGTATCCTTTGAAGGGTTGTCACAATGGGAATAGAATGTCATTATATGGTTTCAGAGACCAACTGGTAAGTTAGAGGAAGAAAAATATGAATTCAGCATTAAATGCCCTAAGAAACAGCTGTGCATGTGGAAGGGGATGCTTTACACAATGGTGAACACCTTGACACTGCCCAATCAGCTAGCTCTTCGTTCAGGAAAACTGTAAAAAATGAATCCTCCCTGAGTGCTCTTCTGAGAGGCTCTAGGATTCTGTACATAGGTATACTATGGGTCCAGTCCTTTTTATAGTTGTCTTATGTATATAGTATACTGTTTTTAGTTCTGACTCCTACATACAAAGTAGAATAGTATTGCTTATTAGCCAGTTCTGCGAGGATTTACCTGCTACAGTTGCTGATAGACAGTACACTCTGTGCTTCAGACAGATGAAATTAAGGTGATAATAGGATGAAGCATTATTTGCTTCAGATGGAGAAAATTAATTTGATAACAGGATGCTCTGTGCTTTGGACAAGCTGGTCCCTTACAGTTAGATGTGTATCTTAGCAAGAATTTTGATGAACCCATATTCTTGCATCTTCCCATACACAGAAGAACACTAAAATTATTGAGATGTCTGCTCTTTGTGACTAGCAGTAATCTTTTAACAAAATGTATACTTGACTGCATATATTCCCTAGCCCAAAAGTCACATATATACTTGAACCTCCCCCTTCCTCTTCAGAGAAGTTCTCTCAGAGTTACTGAGAAGCTGTTTCCTAGGCTACAGCCCTTACTATGGTCCCTGAATAAACCTGAAACAACTATGTTGTGTGTGTGTTTTTTCAGTCAACACTTCTGAGACTGAAAAAAAAAAAAAAAAACATTTACTGACCTTTTTATAAAGTGGAGATGCTGAATATGGGACTTTACTGTGAGAAACTAAAGGCTATATTGATTCAGGTTTTTGAGGTTTGTGAAATTGCTCTAATTTCAGTTGTCATTACCACAGTAGCCCACTTCTTTGGAGCACAAAAAAGCAGGTAGGTGGGCCAAAAGAATTTTTTATTTTTACCATGATCATACTGGAAGAGTAATTTTATCTAACTGCTTAAGAAATCTTTTTCAAAGATTTTAATAAAATGTTTTTTTCTCCCATTAAATGCAAATGGAAATGCATGGACTACACATAGGGGGCAATTCTCTCTGACACTGAAGTGCTCCCTTCACAAACAGTAGTTTCTAGGTGGGAATTATTAACAAGGAGAACTATGCCAGTGTTGGGCTGGAAAGAGGGCATCTTGTTCCCTCCCAGTTCTGGCTCTATCTCCTCAACCTGAGAAAATATATTGTGATCAAGAATAACAAGTCCTTCCCACTTTTCTTTTCCTTCCACTTGTTAAATTTTGGTACATTGCATATGAAATTAAACAGTAAGTAAAAAATGGGCTTCATATATATCTTATTTGTTTAAATTTTGATAGTAACTTTGCTTGTTCTCACTTACAGATTTCAGGACATTTTGAAATGGCATTTTGAAGTTGAATCTTGAAGTGCGGATAATCAAGTGACAGGGTGCAGAAGTCAGCAGAGAGAGGAAAGAAAGCAGAGGTAGGGAATAGCATGGCACACCGGAAATTCTAAGTTGCTGGGACAGCTGGAGCACACGGTACAACGGGGAACTGCGGCGAGGAAAAGAGGCTAGAGAGGCTGGGCTTCCCCCACTCCTTTGGCAAAAACCCCCATCTTTATCTCTGAATGAGACTCAAAAGAAAACTTGGAAAATAGAGTGGATTTAAGAGATGGATAACTGGATTAGCATCCCAGGATTCTATTGACCTTGGACTCTCTCTGGTCTTCTTAGGGGGACAATGGGTAAATAAAATGTGAAAGTTCCCAGTGACAGCTAGATAAATGTTGGCTGAATTGGAATGTGCTGCAGATATTAGGCAATCTGGGGTCCTGGTTAAAGTGTATGAAGTACTCTCAAGGTAGGGGGAGGACTAGATCGGGCTGGGAAAAGAAAAACACTTAAGACTGTTCACCCAGGAAGGTTTAAGGAGTGACCCTATTGAATCTGGAGTACTTGCTTTTAGAATAAATGAACTGCAGAAGATGTCCTTAACTCAATGTAAAAGCAGAGTGGTTTATAATCTCCCGACAGGCCGAACAGTTCATTAAATATTCTGTCTTTGTGAGTATTGTCGATGCATAATCAGCACCTCCTGGAACAAGGTGTACAGAATGGGGATTAGTGCACACCATTTGCTTGTGTGCACACCAATAGGAAAATGGAAGAGCTGGAAATAATCCAGAAAGTTTTTTGTGCAGAAATACAAAATGGTATTTTATTTATACTTCCCTTAGCACATGATCTTAATTATGCTTTATAGCCTGACGATGGTTATCATAGGCTACAGATAATCATGCTGTTGATCAGACTCCCTTCTTGCCTAGAGTAAGCACAGCAATCTCAATGACAATTTTAAAAGGGGAAGGCGAAATTTGTTTCAGATGTATTTCACTGCTTATGGAGGACAAGTGGCTTCTCACCATGGTGACAATCAGGTTGCTAGGCTGGACAAGGCCAAGTTTACAAGAATGGTCCTCCCACAGATTTACTGAAATGAATGGTTCATGCTACCAGCAACTTTCTTTAAGTTCTCATTAATTTCCCATGAAATAATTGCTTGGAATACATCCAAGCAGTCCCTTTACTCACTGCTTCTTTGTCTTGCCGACAGGAGGGTCAGTCAATACTGAAACATACAGTTTGAACCAAGCATATGTGATGCCCACTGCACAATACACTGAGGTCAATAACAAAGGGATAAATGGGTACTTCAGGTTCCAGGAGGTGAAAGGGAATACAAATTCACAGAAGACTTCCAGAGGTCCCAGGCCAAGAAGGTAGAAAGTTTCCATCCAATTAAAAAGAGGTTTTTCTTTTCTGAAGAAAAAAGGAGAGAAGTCTGACTTTAGATGAGTCATTCTGCTTTTGCAAACATTTCTCAACTAAAGCTGCCCAACTGCACTGTCTTGATGTGAAGTGCAGCTAAAGCCAGAGTCAAAAGAATGCAAAAAATTTCACATTTAGAAAAAAGTGATAGAACTATATCATTCTATTAACTCAACAATCCAAATTATCCAATCATCATCTATGCTGTCACTTAGCTGGAGCTGCTGAGGAAGAACTAGCTATGCATTTTGAAGAGGAAAGGGGGCTGGATACTGTGACATTGGAATAAGAATATAGTAAACAGTACATAACTTTTGTTTGGTAAAGTCATATAAAATGTTAACCATTTCTGATTGTAATTAAGTAGTATTAAGTATATTGATAATGTTGTATAACCATTACCATCGTCCACTTTCAAAACATTTTCAACACCCCAAAAGAATCTTTGGAGGCAGTAAAGCAGCAACAGCTCCCTATCCAGCACCACCACCACTCCCACAGGTCCCTGTAACCACTAATTTACTTTCTGTCTCTATGAATTTGCATAGTCTAGATAATTCATATAAATGAAATCATACGATATTTGTCCTTTTTGTATCTGGCTTATTCAGAGTGATGGAATATGGGTAATTTCTCCTGCTATTGCTGATATTTTGTAATGTTGTGATATTACCACTAATACTTAAAAAATTAAAATGTAAAAGACTTAATCATTTAGGAGTAAACATTTCACAAGAGTAAAAAGAATTTTAAATATACTTTTTTAGATTACCTGAACAGAGTCTTCAGTGAGGAAATACTATAGATGGTAAACAGTAACATGAGTAAGATTTTAATGGGAAGTTCTGTTAAAAGAATAAAAAGGTACATATGATAATTAAGTTGGTAAGAGGAAGGTTTATGATATTTAAGGGAATATAATCATAATGACACAGCTATATAGTGCTAGGAATGTTTTGAGCTTAACTGTGCATTTTTGTGACATCTAAAGATACTGAGAATTAGGGATATATTGGAGGTTTTATTTAAGAGAATGGATGAGCTCTCTCTAAGAGACTTTAAGGTAGTTTAAATCAGATAGCATTGATCTGTAGGCTCTGATGTAAAGGCATGACAATCAAATACATCTCTCTTAAAAGGAAGCTATTTACCTGGTGCAGTGAAGAGCAGAGGGAAGAGGGAATAATGTCCTGTTGTGGTCAGAATCAGAAAAATCGAAGCATCTACTGCTTTTCCCACCGATAAGAGGCTAAAAATAAAAATTCTTATAATAATTCTTAGTGTAATTAATTAAAACATCAAATGAAGCTTATACTTACAAATAGTTATATATATATGTAATATTATTTCTAGAACTGGCTTTGCATAAAATAACATACTGATCTTTGCTACAAGTCTAATTCCATTGAGAATATTAATTTTTTTAGTGGGAAACTTGAAGCAATACATAGAAGAGTACCACACTGGATCATGGAACATTCAAAAAAGAACCTTCTCTCTCTGAGTAACTGCCTCCTCAAAGAAAGGAATATTATGGGGTTGGGAGCTGCCTAATGGTGGTAGGCAGGGAAACTGGACTTGAAAGTTTTATTTCCAACCCTATAGCTCTTCTCTGGGACAATGCCCCACACGTGCTGGTGTTCAATTAGAATTCTAACTAAAGACATTAGGAATTTTGCCCTATTTTTTACTTTGGAAATTCCAAGTTGCTAAATGAACTCAGACAAGACAGGCACTGATCTGACATATTCGCTTAATGTTCTTTCAGAGCTTAAATGATGTCTCTCAGGATTTAAGAAAAAGCTTAAGAAAAGGGCTAATTCTATTACCATCTATGTAATTGGGTTTCAGTTGTATACAAAATGGGCACATTGTGCTTTTTTTTTTAAGCATGGCACAGTGAAAAGAACTTAAGATTCACCATGGTAAGATTCAGGTTAAAGTCCTAACCCCCTGCTATTTGCTAGCTGTGTGACTTAGGATAAGTCAAATTCTGAGCCCCAGTTTCTACAGATATAAAGACAGGGGATAATCATTTATCCTAATTATCTTATAGGTTGTTGTGAGGCTCAAAAGAAAGAATACAAAAGCACAAAACAAAATCCCAACAAACAACAAAAACAGCTCTGAGAACTCTGGAGTGCTGTGTGTATGTCAGGTATGATTCCATGGTGGAAGCACTCCTTACTGACTAGACAACACCCAACAAGCAACTGCGGGTGTGATGACATCAAAGACCATGTTTTTCTTCATACTCTGCTGCCATTCAAAATCCAGCAGTAACAGGCTGGTACCATGACTCTTAATCACCACAGGACCCCTTACCAAAAAATTTAGGAACAATATGGGCAGTTGTGCATGCCTTAGAACTTTCACAGGTACAAGGATCCCAAGGACCCCATTATGTCCAGGTATAAGTCTGTTCCCACACGTCTTTGTCAAAGGAACATGTCAAAGGACAGATCAAACGGAAAACAACAGGGTCACTGTGAAATATGCCAGAAGTGCTGACTAAGTGAGCTTACCTCATTGGGAGAACTGCAAGGAGAATGGCCTTTTCATGGACATGCCAGCCAAACATGAAGGAGCTCAAGGCACAAAGAATCAGACATCGGAGAAAGCCTCTGGGCCCTTGAGGTTTAAACCAAACACAGAAAACAGAGGGCTAGAAACAACAGGCGAAGATAAAAACTTCAGTATCATTTAAAATAGGCTTACTGAAACATCGTGAGGTGAATATAATTTACGTCATCTCTGAAAAACAGTAGCTCATTATTCTCCATCAAACTGAGTTTGCTTTGTGAACAGTCCAACAAAAGTTAACATAGAAACACTACTCAGAAAAAGGCATTTGGAAATATATATTTAACTCATTAAAATTAATTCTACTCATCGAAATTAATAAGGAATGATAATTAAGTTCTAGGATAGCCAGTATAACCCCCTATTACACCTTCATAATTAGTTAACTAATAGTCATTGAACTTATTAGGTCAAACTACAAAAGTTCATCGATATTGTGGAGCTAATAATAAATTAAATCTTAGCATATTAATAAACAAACACCAGGGACTTCCCTGGTGGTCCAGTTATTAAGACTTTGTTGTCCAATGCAGAGGGTGTGGGTTCAATTCCCACATAACCTCGTGGCCAAAAAACCAAATCACAAAATAAACAATTTTGTACCAAATTCAATAAAATTTTAAAAATGGTCCACATCAAAGAAAATATTAAAATAATAATAATAAGCAAACATCTAACTCTATGAGCTGGAGGAGTGTAATTTACAAGCAATCCAAGGTCTTCTACATGCAGCTTACAAGGCTGAAATTTTAGGAAAAAGTTTAACCTCAGTTAGAACATGTGGATAAATAGGCCAACAAAGCTTAATTACCTACCAGTACTGCATGCAATTAAGTGGGGTCAGGTGTCTTGTGAGTAGGCTTGATTATTCAGAAACAAAAATTAAAACTGAGTGTAATTAGATATGACTGTGTTATTTATATTGACTTCTACTAAAATTATATCATGAAATTGAGTGCATCATGATCACTAACAAAAACAACTTTGAATGATGCCTATAACAGCATCTGACTCATATAAAATTCTTACTTGATGCTCAAACAGCCACTGTGACTATCTCAGCTCATTATCAAGACAAAATATCCAGGCGGTCCAGAAAAATTTAGACTTTTGATCAGGTCGCCATGGATGAAAACAAGAACCTGATGTCCTTACTACACTGTCCTTTTTCTCCACGGTGTGGTCCAAGTCCTCTCCCCTGGGCTTTTCATTCTTCATCTGATGGTGAACAGATGGTCTGTTAGCCTCTCGTGAGGACCTCTCTCAAAGAGGCTTTACTAGTAATCCTTCCTTATGGTGTTCAAAGTTACCCTAAGAATTGCTAGGAAATGCCTCAATCTGCGGCAGGATTACAGCCATGGAATTTATCCTACGGTTGGGAAAACGTGAAATTCAACCAGCCACACAAAAGAAAATGACAGAAAACTCAAGAAACAAGGACCACGTGTGAATTCTTACCAACACGGCAATCAGAGTGCAGATAAAGGTGGCCAAGGGCGTCACTGAGGGAAGGACTGTGTGCTGGAACTGCTGAACTAAACCACTTGTCATTGAGGCCTTGGGAATCTTGTTGGGGTCAAGAAGTTTCAGTTCTAAACCTACAGAGCAAATAGATATTTTGTTTTGTTTTGATCAATGGCACACCATGTGTTACGTGGCTTCCTTGGTGGCTCAGCTGGTAAAGAATCCTCCTACAATGCCGGAGACCTGGGTTAGATCCCTGGGTTGGGAAGATCCCCTGGAGAAGGAAATGGCAACCCACTCCAGTGTTCTTGCCTGGAGAATCCCACGGACAGAGAAGTCTGGTGGGTTACAGTTCCTGGGGTTGCAAAGAGTCGGACATGACTGAGCAACTGACACTTTCACACCGTATTTTACCAATCAGTTCCTTGAGGAAAAAAACAATATGCTACTAAATCTTATAGACTGCTTCAAGGTCAAGATTTCATTAACTCAGTCCCACAATATTCTACCTAAAATGCCTCTGGTTTACAGTGTGGTTATCTGCATTGGAACAGAAACCCTTGCTGGCAGGTAGCATGGATAGCAATTCGCTCTCATCTCTAAAATGAAGCAAGCTTTCTCAAATACTACCATGTCACAAGTCAGCTTTGAATCCTTCCTTGACTGGGATAAAGTCCATATTCCTAAGCATAGACCACAGTATCTTCCATGATCTAGCACCTCCCACCTTGCCAGATTCATCTGCTTTACCTTGTTAAATATAGCTTGGCTGCAATGAGCTGACATACCCCTCAGACGCCTGTGTCCCTTTGCACAGACTACTCCTTTTGCATGGAATGGCCTACTCACTTCACAGAGCTAACTCCTAATTCACTCACCTAAGAAAGCTCCTAACTCAGGACATAAAGTTGATTTTCTTGTGGGCTAAGGTGGTCTCTTACACACGCTGCACTGTATCTGCTTATATGTTCATTTACTCTCCTACAACGGGCTCCTTAAAGGCAGGAATGACAATTTATTTCTATGCCCAGCACATAACATTCCAAGAAATACTTACTAAATGAACCAAGTCCGAGGGTAACAATGCAAGCACCAGCCCGAACAAGCTAACAGAAGAGTCAAAGATAGTCTGAGCAACTGAATGGCCCCATCTAATGCCACTGAAAACTAGTGAAATGTGAGAAAAGTGTAGCCTACTAAAATACCTGGTATTCATTCACCTCTTCCCTTTTCACTTCAGCCTGCAGATTCTCTCTTAAAGCTAATAATTACCTGCCTGAAACAGAACTGCCTAACCTACCACTGGCTTTCTATTCGCAACATCCTTGAGGAGACAGATATACAAGATGAGGTACAACAGTTTCCTGACTCAGATAAGGCAAGCAGCACCTGTACCTCATATTATGTCAGTCATTTAAAATTTTTAGAAGTGTTAAGAACTTACTTCATAAGATGCCATATATATCAAGGCTGGGCTCAGTGGGTGAGTGAGAATAGCAAATTATGATTTCCTGCAAGTACATGTCCAAAACAGTAATAGCAGCTGCCATGCATTAAGCACCTGCCATATGCCAAGGGCTTTGTAGCCATTACTTTTAGCTTCTTGAGGCACAAAAAGATGAGTGCCTAAAAAAGATGACATGCCTAAGGTCACACAACTTAGGTGGAAGAATCAAATCCAAAGCCCCTGCTACTGACAGCCTGGCATGCCTTTATTGTTGCCTTTGCTTCTCACAATAAGTTGTTACATTTTAAAGGTTGTAAACAAGCAACAAAACACCTTATGTGGCCTGAAAAGCCTAAAATATTTACTGTCTGTACGGTTACAGAAGCTTGCCTGCCCTTCTTTTGATCCTGCCATTTCCCATCAGGCTAGGCTGTATTCACAGATGAGAGAATGGGAGTTGTTCTACAGTTAGTTATTTTCAGAACTGTCTGAAGGTATAAATTCCTTTTCATCACATCTCAAACTTAAAAGCATAGCCTAAGTTTTCTCTTTCTTTTCATCTCATGCTGAATGCATGCCTCCCATTTCCCCTATTGCTTTAATACCCAGAATCATAACTTACACATTCTTAAAACGCTTCTTCACATTTTTAAGTTTAAAAGTAAGGTTATAACTGCTGAAAAACGTTTTACTTAAGGTAAAAATTACCTTTTAAAAATGTCTAAATATTTCATTCCCAAGGAAAGGAACAACAATCTCACTGCCACAAAGAGCTTTTATAAGGAATGTAGTCTGTTTCCTGCACTGGAGTCTCAGTCTCAGAACCACTTCTCTGTTTATCCTGAGAGCTGAAACGTGGGGGTGGAGAACAAACAGTTCAGCCTCATTCACAAGACAAAGCAGGTTTTTTTTTTTCCATTTCTCAATGTGACTAGCTCTTGCAATCTTCATAGTCTAAGTAAGAAGGCTTAGGGAAGTCCATGCAGGCCCGGGGGTTAGGACTCAGTGCATTCACTGCTGGGGCCCGGGTGGATCCCTGGTTGGGGAACTAAAAACCCACAAACCATGTGCAGAGACCCGACCCTCCTCACCCCGCCAAAAAACAAAGGTAAGAAGGTTTGCTACCATACCGATGACGGACAGCACTTTGTCCAAAGCACTGTACAAAGCCCAGAAGTTTGGAGCCCAATATGCGTGGCAGAGGCCCCTCTTGAAGGGGAAGAGTCGGGAAAAGACTTGAGGCAGTTGGTTCTGTTGAAAAGAGATTAAACAGTGATCAGTCTTTCCTAAATTAAAAAAGACAACTAGGGTACTATCTGTGGCATTGTGTGAAGAAAGTTATGAGGTCTGAGTTCGAGTATTTGTTCCTTCAAGGAAAGAGTTATGTGATGCTAAGCAGTTCACAGAACTTCTTGTTGTCCAACCTTCTCATCTGTCATGTGTGACAAGGTATATCAAAGTACTGTGAATACCAGTCCGATGCTGTGTATAATATATAATATAATAATGGAAGAACTGATAAGGGGCACAGGAGAACACAGACTGCAGCTTCACCAAGTTTACTGAAGAAATGGGGACGATGCAGAAGGCTTGATGAGACAATGCAGTGTTTCCCAGTTTTAACAGCAATTAAAATTAACAAGTTGAATTCCGTGCAAGGAAAGAAGCCAAAAAAGGAAAAACACCTGCTAAACATCTGCAACATATTAGGCACTTGAGAATGTTTGCTGTCAGTGACTGACTGGGAAAGTACTGAGGACTGACTTGGGGTCACAAATAAAACATAGCAAACAAGCAAATAAACAAATCCAGAAATCTGTGAACACTTACTATCAACTCTGTGTGAGTGTGCGTGTTTGTGAGACTTATTGTTAAATACACAAATGTATGCACATACATATTTGCATAGGCACAAAAATGTCTGAAAGAATACCATCTTATCTTTGAGGAGTCACAGTTGGAAGGAGTGAAACAGGAGTAGTTTTGTTTATTTTATATACCCCTGGCTTTATTATTTTTTCTAAATAACAACAAACATGTCTTCTTCATAACAAATAACAGACTTACCAAGGCTAGAAAAGGACCCAGCGAAACAGCAGAAACTAGGAAGACAATCAGTCCCAGGGAAATAAGGCGGACAAAGCTGAAGCTGTTCCATCGGATGGATCCATCTACAGAAAAGACCATTATCACTAACCAGGAGCATGGAAAGCCACAGCTTACATAACATGCCCAAATTAGTAGTAGCCCATGACAGTATACCAATCTTTATGATGTGGCAAGAACACAGAAAAGAATGGGTTTTTACGCATTTTTATAGGATCAATAGTTGAAAGATATCTGCTGTGCCTCATAAAACCCCCTCATAGGACTTCCCTGGTGGTCTGGTGGTTAAGACTATGCTTCCACTTCAGGGAGCATGGGTTCAATCCCTAGTCAGGGAACTAAGATCCTAAGTGCCATACAGTGTGGTCAAATAATTAAATAAAAATTAAAAAGCAAGCCCCTAAGTCAAGACAAAAGAAAAAAAAAGAAAAATAACACTATCACTAAAACTTGCCTGGTTTATTTGCAGTGAAACAGTAAGATCGCAGCAAATATACACCGTAAGCTGGTGCTACATAGAGGTAGATGTGCTTGAAATGTAGGAGAACAGCAAAGAGAAATGCTCCTTCCATATGCCTTTTCTAGGAAATTGAAAAGGGAAATATCAATTCAAAATTCAGGGTAGACTAAACACAATAATGTAGCATCCTGGACTGGACCCTGGAACAGAAGAAGGATGTTAGTGGAAAAACTGGTAAAATCTGAATGTACCAATGTTGGTTTTTCAGTCTTGATGAATGTACCATAAGATGGTAACATTACAGGAAAATGAGTTAACGGGTATAGGAACTCTTATTATATTTGAAAATGGTTAAGATAAATGGGTGAGGGGAGAAGAGAAATAGGTGAGGGAGATTAAGAGATAAAGTACAGTTGCAAAACAAATGAATCATGGGTATGAAATGTACAGTGTGGAAAAAGTAGTCAGAAACTATATCTGTCATCTCAGTATGGTGACAGATTGTCACTAGACTTACCATGGTGATCATTTTGAAATGGATAGAAATACTGAGCCATTATGTTATGTAACAGCAACTAACAGTGTTGTAAATCAATTATTACTTCAAAAACAAACAAACTCATAGGGAAAAGATTAGATCTGTAGTTAACCACAGGTGAGAAATGGGGGAGGAAGAATTGAATAAAGGCAGTCCAAAGGCAAAATTGTAGTTACAAGATAAATAAGTTCTAGGGATGTGATGTACCATATGATAAATGTAACACTGGTGGTGTTTTAGTCTCTAAGTCATGTCCAACTCTTTGTGACCCTGTGGACTGTAGCCCACCAGGCTCCTTGTCCATAGGATTTACCAAGTAAGAATATTGGAGTGGGCTTTCATTTTCCTTTCCAGGGGCTCTTCCTGACCCAGAGATCAAACCTGCATCTCCTGCTTGGCAGGTGGGTTCTCTACCACTGAGCCACCAGGGAAGATCAGTATAAGGAGAACAGAAGGAATTGATTCCAACTAGCTTTTACACTGAGCCTAGTGGGTTCATAAATTCATTACTTCAACAAATATTTATTAAGTACTAAGTTTGATGTTGAGGTATAAGATACATCATCATAACAACACTATAAATTCTCACTAAGGAACCCAAATAAGTTAATTACCTTCACCCTCTTATAGTTATACAATAGCTGGAGCTGATTTCCAGAGAAGATCTGGGAATCATAGTATGAATAATTATAGATAAACTATGCTAACAAAGAATCACTTAAATCTTACATTACACATTAGGTAACGTACAGTACAACTGGGCTGAGGCAGCAAGTAGTACCTGATCTAACAAACTACCTAGAAGAATTATAGGCACTCTGATTTGGGGGGGAAAACAACCCTCCAAACTGAGTTGACTATGACTAAAGAAGTCTGAATTCTACCTACCTCACGGGAATTTTGGAAGGACCAAATGAGATAATGGTCCTGGGGTTCAGCAAAGAAACTGCCAGAGGGACCGTGAAAGGCCAGGTTCCTCCTTTTACTGTCTCATCAGGTGTGGTCTAGAACAGATGAATCAGCAATGGTAAGGCAAAAACAAAGGGATGCTTCTAAATGTCTCCACCAGTTTTATTATTTATTTAAGATTCAGAGAAAGTCCAGCTGGTTCTACAGCTAAACTTTAGTTCATTTGTTCAACAACCAGTCACCCTTCACTCATTAAACACCAATTATGATCTATGTATAGTGTGGCTTATAATGGTTAAAAGAAAAAAAAACTTATCCAGACATTCATAGTTGACAAAGAACTTTAAAACGGACTACTGAATTTGATCTTTCCAAAGTCCCTGTGAGGTAAGTGGCCCCATTTAATAAACAGAATGTATTAAGGGTTAATTTTATCTTATGGATGAGAAAACTGAGGCTGAGAGGGTTGAAAGACTTGCCTTGGGTTGATGGTTCCCAAACCTCATGGTGTATCAATATTCCCTGGAGATTCCTAAAACCCAATCCCAGAGATGAGGGAACTTCTAGAAATCTAAATTACCTACTTTCGTCCTCTAAAGAAAGGAGGATAATTTTAACAACTTCACAGAATAGTTGCAAGGTTTACTCAATAAGATATTATATATAATGGACCCAATCTGAAGCAGCCAATGCTTTTGAATAACTTATCTAAGTCGCACAGCTTGTTTGGGTTATTCAGGATTTCAACCCAGGTCTTTTGGTTCCAAATCCCATACTTTCCATTACACTATGCTACATGGTTCTGATGGGTAAGGCCCAACCATTACAGTTACTATTCTGTATAAACTATGGAAGACTTCATTTCTGGACAAATGATCCAAACCAAATATAGAAACTCGAGTTTATTTCAGGCCTGCCACACCCTAACAAGTTTTTAGAGTATAATTTTCTCATCTGTAAAATGGAGAAAAGTATTACTGAAAGAGAAGACGGAATTTGTGAAAAATACTTAGCACTTGGCAATGGAAAACAGTTGGTCAAATAGATTTACCAATCACCTTTACAAGCTAAAAACCAAACTAATGTAATTAGCCTATTTTGTGTTTACCTGAAAGAATCGTGCAATGGAGAGCAGCATTAATCCAGATAAAAAACCATTGTACTGGAAATGAATATCTAGACGTAGGTCAAGGAAAGAAAACAGAGGATACCAAATTCACAATGAACTGTGCCAGCAGACTGAGTATCAAAGTCGCAAGTGCTTACTTTATAGGTAAATTAAAGACAGCAGTATTACTACCAGTTGGGAGTTTGCATAAAAATGTTTTGCATAAATTGCGAAATTCTAGACAAACTTTTAAATTAAAATTTATGTTTAAGAAGAAAACCAGGAAACTTTCCCATATTTTCTGTAAGTTAAAGAATGAACAGGTAAAGGAGTTTTTTTGTTTTGTTTTGCCTTCTAGAATCAGGGATGAGAAAGGAAGGGACCTAACAGCTACCGAAGGCCATTTCATGCAGCATTTCATTGTCAGTTAAGTATACAATGAACCTGTGAGGCACTCAGAGCCCCAAAGCATTAGAGATTTGAGATTTGAGTCTACATCAGATTTAAACCAAAGTGCAGGTGCTCTCACCTACACCTGGCTATGTCTATGAAAACTAGAAATCTGGCTTCTGTCATTTGGATTTTAGTTAAATTCAGACCCTTTGGATTTAAGAACTTTGCCTATTAACATGGGGTAAGCCAAGATGGGAGAAAAGCATGAAGGCTTGTTTCCACATGCAATACTGTGATAGGCCATTTTCTACGAAAGGTATTTAGAATAATATAAACTATTTCAGACATGTATATTAGACTAATCTAAAGACAGTTAAGTCCCAGTATATTGCTTTCCTGGTGATTTACCTGGTTCTCGAACGTCATCACTAACTTTTCAGGGACAAAGTGCTCTACAACCAGAGGGCGGTGAAGTTGAGTAGAGACCACAGTTTGGGGAACTGACTAACCCATTCCACATCCACTTTCAAAAGCAGCTCACATTTCAGAATCATCATTACAGAAAGGATTAATCTTGTACTTTAGTACATATCAAATAAATAAGGGAACAGTGCATAAAACGTCAAGGATACGGTCTACAATTAACAACCCGAAGTTCCACAGCAGTAGTACTGACAGAATAAACTTCGGCTTCTCTGTAAGTTCTTTGCCTGCTTTTTTCCCATCAATGCATTTACAGCACCTAAATTGGAACATGAGGAAAGAATCAGAAACAACTTTTATCTTCATTAGAACATTATAATACTTTTACAGAGCACTCTGATGTACTCTGTTGTGTTTCACTAGCCATTCCTGAGAAATTGTCCATGCCATTCTTTTCTTTTTAATGAGGAACTATTTTATTTTGAAAATGAATGATTGAAAAGCAACATTCAGGCTGAACAGCAGTTGGAAAACTCAGGTTTATATCAATCCAAATATGAAGGAAAAAAAAGGAAGGAAGAAATGAAGGAATGAGGAGAGAAAAGATGAAGGAAATTAAAGCTACTATTTATGGAGCACTCAGTATATCCTAGATGCTTTCACTAAGAGTATAACATTTACTTCCCCAAGGACTATGGAAGGTTTTCTTTTTATTTATTTATTTATTTAATTTTAGGTTTTCTTTTTAAAAAGGAGGAAAGAGACTCCAGGAGACTTTCTTGTAGCCCTTCAATATGTCTGCACCCTATCACAGCTCAATGTTGCCAGTTATCAACAGGGAAGAAAAAGAAAGGCAACAGCATCCGGTTCTGGTGATATGGACAACTTTTCAGTTAAAGTGCCCTTAGGTGTAACCTTTCCCAAGTAATTCCAGGGGGTTACAAAAAGTTTAGTTGCTTCCCTGTCAGTTCATTAGAAATAAGGATTGGGGTGTCCATGCCATTCCTGAACCTAACAAGGTAGTAGCAGAAAGAAAGTTCTCAGGGCCAGTTCCATGTCTTTCTCAGCTACGCTGACTTGAAACAGTCTTCATTTAATAAAACAAATTTAAAAAACCATCTACAAAAAAACCCAAAAGAATTTTGAAAACTGAGAGGACACACACTATTTTAGTCTTTAAGGCTAAAAAAATGCAGACCAGGATAACACAACATTCTAAATTATATGTCATGAAACCAGCCAAATTAAGAATAGGCCGGCGAGAGTTTGGGAGAGGGTGGTGGAGGGGATAGAAAAAAAAAGAATAAAGACACAAACTTGCAACTTTCAACTACCCAAATAATTTTTAAAAATGCCTATAAAAAAATGTATGTCATTTAAAGGTAAAGAATACAGTAATTAAGTGATAATAGCAGGTGACAACAGTACGATCCATTTCTATTTTGTAAAAATTATATTCAGACACAAAAAAGGTTGAAACAACAGGCACCAAAATGTTGATAGTGACAGCAGTAAGTGGAGGAATATGGGTTCCTTTTAACTTTAATGAAAGTGTTAGTCACTCAGTCGTGTCCGACTCTGTGACCCCCATGGACTGTAGCCTGCCAGGATCCTCTGTCTGTAGAATTCTCCAGGCAAGAAAATTGGAGTAGGTTACCATGCCCTCCTCCAGGTGATCTTCCTGACCCAGGGATCAAACCCAATTCTCCCACCTTGCAGGCAGATTCTTTACCATCTGAACCACTGTATATGTGCTGTTTTCCCAAATTTTGACAAGGATGTACTATTCTATGAAAAGATTTTTTAAAATGTATTTCATTTGAATACCAGCAAATCATGAAAACAAAGAAAGCTAAAAGTGAAAGCAGACATAATAAAGATGCAGTTGGACAGCGGCTAGGAAAAGGTGTCCTGCTTTTCCTCCCTGGAGCCTGAGTTTCTTCATAAATAGGTTGACTAACCTTATAGGGTAATTGAGAAAATTAAGTAAGTTACTAATCTATACATAGTGCCTTGTTTGAAGTTTTTATCTTAGTTAGCTGTTCTCTCTTACACTGTAGACGGAAATGAACTCTTCCTTCTCTCTGCCTGCATACCCTTTCCCTGGGAGCATGGATTTAAACATTTTGAGTTAAAAGGAGTACATGATATATCACCTTCTCCTCCAACTCTTGCCAGGTCATACACAGAATGAAGGTCAGGGGGCCAAACAGGAATTATTCCGTAAACATGAGCAGAGGTTCAAACATCCCCAAGGGACTCTTTCCTGAACGGGGCAAGAGGTTCACTGGAGAAGGCCACATAAACAGAAATGATCTACTTATGACAACGGGCACTAGTTACTGCTCTGTCACAATCATAAGAGTAGACTTAAGTATTAGGACAGAATAGAGACCAACAATGACTGGGAATGCACTACTTGGAAGTCACTGTGCAAAACATTCTACATATATGCATTTGACTACTTAAAAGTAACTTATAAGTAAAAGATGCAAAACATAAAAATATATGATATAAACATAGCTTAAAATTAACGAAGAGTCTTTGTGAAGGAACACATCCAGAGACTGCAACTAGAAGCACTCAGTAAGATTTCTTGAGTTTACCAGAATGGACACTCCACTGGTGGTTAGCACTATGCATGTGTGTGCATGAATGTGCTGCGTTGTGTGTGTGTGAGTATCCTAAAGAATAGGGTAGGCCACAGCAGCACGTGGTGGCCTGCTACAAGGAGGGAAAGAGGCCTGTGGAGCCATTCTGGGCAGGAGAAATAGTCCTGGAACTCTACTTGGGCCTACTTTTCACAACATTCACAAATTTCACAACATTCATCTTGCACTATTTCTACCTTGTAACCCCACTGTAACCCCCATTTCTTCCCCACAATATTCAATTAGACTGCTAGCTGTAACTACTCATTGTGCAGTTTAGAACACAACAGTTAATAATGTCCCAGCATTTGCTATTATATGAACTTCGTTTGCCCACAGTGAAGAACAGGTTAATACTATTTAATCCGATTTCCTCAACACATCTTCCACACGGAATAGCATTCTCAGACTTACTCATGGACAGCATACACAAAGAGTGCATCTGTAAAGATGACGGAAAATCTCTGGAAGAGTAAGGTCCTTGGGCTGGAGTAATTCAGATTACGGACATTCAGCATCTCGTGATCAAAGTATTTGGCAACATGTGACAGGGCATACTCAAACCATGCGAAAAAGGGGGGGTAATCCAAGGTCCACTCTGAAGTTGCCTGTGGTAAAAATAGAAGACAGAATATATCCTAAGTAACTGAATAAACAAGATACAAAGACTGGAAATTTTCATTCTCTGGTCTTCAAAAAAAAAAAAACCCCACACATAAAATGAAATTACACTTAAAATATGCCATAAATAGAAAAATTTCTATGTTAGGACTGAACAGAACAGTAAAAGTAATTTCCTAACTTATTTAATATAGTCTTCAAGTTCCTTAGAGTCAACTGTACTTCAAAAGAAATTTGAAACCTTATAGTAATGAATTTGCTTATGACATGGTTCTAGTCATCTAAATATAAAAAGGGAGCTTCACTGCTTAGTTGCTAAGTTGTGTCCAGCTCTTTTGTGACCCCATGGACTGTAGCCTGCAAGGCTCCTCTGTCCATGGGATTTCCCAGGCAAGAATACGGGAGTGGTTGCCATTTCTGTCTCCACAGTATTTTCCTGACTCAGGGATCAAACCCATGTCTCCCTCATTGGCAGGTAGATTCTTTACCACTGAGTCACCAGGGAAGCCCTGAAAATGGAGGTAAGGCATAACAAATGATTCTTTAGTTTGGGTTTAAGTTCCGTCCCAGAGTCACAATTTCCCTACCTATAAAATGAGATACTGTGAGGACTAAATGAGATAATATATATGAAATATATTTATAAATGACAAAATGCTACACTGATGCTACTTATCTTTTGCTCCACTAGGTTATAAGACCCTTCAGAGCAGAAACCACTCTGTCATTTCTGTATCTTGAACACTTAGTAAGTTTCTGATATATTAAGAATCAAATAGTCATTAGTTAAATGAATAAATAGTCCCTAATGATTAAATGCCTGGAGAAGGAAATGGCAACCCACTCCAGTAATCTTGCCTGGAGAATTCCATGAACAGAGGAGCCTGGCAGGCTACAGTCCATGGGGTTGCAAAGAGTCAGGCATGACTGAGCAACTATCACTCAATGATTAAATGAAAATATAAATCATATGAAAACTATATAAACTATACAAAAAAACATATAAACTATATATAAGCTTTATGGTACTATATTTTGGTATTTTTGTTTCAGTTTCTACATTCATAAAACAAGAATGGTAGTACTCACAAGTTATTGCATTACATCTTACCTCTGTGTGTGTGTGTTTAGTACTGAATCAGACACAAACTAAGTATCGATAACTATTATTATAATTTACAAAAGTGATTACTATTTCCATAACTTGTCCCTAAAACTAAACCCAGATCTTATACCTAAAGAGCTGAGACAGCAATTATCTCTCCATTCTGCACCTGTTGCTCTTTTCAATTGAAAGCGCCTCTCCTTCTGGAAGTGCGCTAAGGGTTCGCTTGGTACTAACTTGGTGCCCACAGGAAATATTATTTAGGGTCTCTCCTGTGTTATAAAATGAGGCAAGAGACACTCAAATAACTTGTTAGCTCTTTGTTCCTGATAAGGAAGAATGAAAACTTTAGGTCCTAATAAGAAGCAGCCTGTTCAACACCCCAGGCAGGTATAAAATCAAAAGCCTCGGCCCTGATCCAGCCCAGAGGCTCTCTGTATAGGGCGCTCAATCTACAAAACCACCGACTAAATTCTCCCTTATGAAATGTTCCTTCTCTAATCTCAAATCTCCAACGTGGGATATAAACAAGATGAACCACTGGAAAATGGAAAGAAATATTAGAAATTTTATTGTTTAATCTTACCCTTCTTAATTTCTATTTTTAAAATATATTAATACAGTACTACTTTTATAAAGACATATCGGGTAGTAAATGCTCAAAAATGACTTCTTGCTAGGGTGCAGATATATCTGTTTTTTAACATTGAGCAATTACTAGTCTATATAATTTCAAGAAGTTCAACAGGAATTTAGACTTTATTAACATCTGTGGTTTCCAACCACAGTTGCCATGTCAGAGCTCACGCTACCCTTAAAGAGCCATTTATCTTACTGGAAGTCTAGAAGAATTTCCTACTTTATCGACATACTTATTATTCTAAATAAAATGGGGAACAGGAAGCGTTAAAAGGACTGAGAAAAGGAACAGGTACTGCCTGGGAGACGGTCATTTTCCCAAAACGGTGTCCCTGTCCTTCCCTCTGTAAGCCCACACCACCTCCGATCCCCTCTCTGCCGCTGCTTCTCCCCGCTGAGACTTCCCACGCCGAGCCCAGAAGGTCTCCTGACCTCAGGAACTTCCTGCTGGAGCCATCCTCTGACTTAAACAGCTTCTGGGAAGCCAAGAAAGCTATCAGCTCACATTTCCTCCCGAGTGACCAATGCTGTCACTTACACGTGGGAGAGCTGGGGCTCATATTCTGTGTCTCCTGACTCCAAATCCATTAGTTCAGGAAGCTACGAGAACAGCCAAGACCCTCACTCAGTGGAAGATGGTGACTACATGTCGACCACAGGGGGCGGCCTCAGGCCCCGGGGGGACGGCAGAGACCAAGAGGAAGAAGAGAGACTCTCCCGCTCAGCCAGCGCGAGGCTGTCGCAACACAAGCCAATCAGATATATAGAACAGACTTGTGGACTCTGTGGGAGAAGGCGAGGGTGGGATGTTTCAAGAGAACAGCATCGAAACATGTATATTATCTAGGGTGAAACAGATCACCAGCCCAGGTTGGATGCATGAGACAAGTGCTCGGGCCTGGTGCACTGGGAAGACCCAGAGGGATCGGGTGGAGAGGGAGGTGGGAGGGGGGACCGGGACGGGGAATACATGTAAATCCATGGCTGATTCAGGTCAATGTATGACAAAAACCACTACAATATTGTAAAGTAATTAGCCTCCAACTAATAAAAAAGAATGAAAAAAAAAAAGAAAAGCCATGGCTCTTTGTTGACTACAGCCCTCCCAACTTCCTCTTCCCCTCTTTCTAAGAGCTCTCCTGCCCCTGTTGTGTGGGGACCTTGCCACAGTTGCAGACCCTGAATTGCAATTTCCTGTTGATTTTTTTTTTCTGTTGATTTCCTGTGTGTACGCCTGTGTTTGTGTTAGTTGCTCAGTTGTGTCCAACTCTGCCACCCCATGGACTGTGTAGCCTGCCAGGTTCCTCTGGCAATGGGATTCTCCAGGGAAGAATACTGGAGTGGGTTGCCATTCCCTTCTCCAGAGGATCTTCCCAACCCAGGGATCAAACCCAGGTCTCCTGTACTGTGGGCAGATTCTTACCATCTGAGCCACCAGGGAAGCCTCTGTTGATCCTAAGTCAGTCCATTTTTGCTGGAAAAATAACCGTCAGTCTACTTGCTTTAGGTCAACAAAGATTCCAAACAATTGTGTTCATCCCACAAATATTTACTTGGGTATTTTTGTCTTTCTCAACCAAGGGACCAATCTGTTTGAGGTCAGAGCAGAAAGGAAGGTTAGAAGCCATGGCTAAGGAAGGCTCTACAATGCAATCCACTGCTCAATATCTACTCTCCTCAGTATGACAGAAAGACCCTTCCAGACCCACAGCAGACACCTCACCATCCCTCTGTGAACCTCACTGACAACTGAGTTTTGCCCCCTGTTGATTTCTTTCGTTGTTAGTGCCGAGGAGAGCAGGAAGAACAAAGAAATATATCATTACTAGAATCTCTTTTCATACAAACCGTTTGTATCTAAAATAAATGAATAACAGGTGACAGCTCTGGCATAAACATATTTCAGGAATACTAAAATAATAGGTAGTAGTGAAAATTATAGGAGTAAAGGAGAGAACATCCAGAAAGAATGATAGAATATTAAAAGGAAAAGGAACCACAAAGAGAAGTCCAGAGAGAACCAGCTTTTGAAAGAGTATTTAGATGCAGAAGAGTTAGCAAAGGAGAGCAAGAAGGAAAAGTCAGAGATAAAAGGAAAAAATGGCGAGACAAGGGACTGCCTTTTCATTTACAGGTTGAAGCTTATTATATTAATAATGCTAATTATTAAGAACATTTAGTAATGTTTAATGAGCACTTTTACTCTCAGTACGTCACATACGTTATATTCACTTTATCCCAATAATTATTTATTATCACCTAATATTAAAAGTTGGCAATGCTGAGGCTTTAAGCAGTCAAGTAGCCTACCCACGGTTGCCCAGCACAGGTATTAAGCAGCAGAGCTGAAAGTCAAATCTAGACAGTCTGGAACGACAGCCCAACCTCTTGACTACCAGGCCACACATAAAGTCTCCTCACTGGTTTGCATTATTATTTACTTAAAGTTCCTTAGCGTTCCTATGAAATACTTGCAGTGTTATTATGTGAAGAGGAATTTGGTCAATTAGATCAATTATTCTCAAGCTTTTTCAGTACAAAGGACTATTATGACTTGACCTAAAAATCCAAAAAGCAACAACTCACAGAAAGAGTTTAGAAGTTGTCTTAAAAAAAACCTCCCTGACATTAGAGTGCTGTTTTTGATCAAATCATTTCTGAGCTAACATCTGTTTTCCATGAAGTATCAGATGTAAGTTAGTAAGTCATACCAGAAATAAAAATACAGACATGGTTTTTATAATAATGGGAGAGAATGGTTTGTATATTGCCAGATACCTACACATCACATTTCATTATTCCTGTCCTCATAAATCACAAAATGTTAGGGAGAGACAGGATCTTAGAAATAATTCATTCCAAATCCTCATGTAACTGATGAAAAACCAAGGCTCAGAGAGATGAAATATATTTTCTAGGTGGTGCAGAGCCAGGCCTAGAATCTAATTTTCCTTCTTTCCCTATCCAATATTCTTTCAAAAAGGATGTGGCAAATATTATAATTCCCCATGTAAAATTTGGGGAAAACTCATTTTGAAGTCAAGAGGTCACCTAATAGCACCAGAGGGCAGAACTGAATGAAACTGACTCCTCCTAAAACCGAGCTCCCTTGCAGAATTTGTGATTAACCTCTCTATCCAAAACTATTTCTTTTTAAAAAACTTTATTTTTGGCTGTGCTGGGTCTTCATTGCTACATGATTTCTCTAGTTGCAGCAAGTGAGGGCTACTCTCCAGTTGCGGAGTGCAGGGTTTTTCTTGCAGTGGCTTCTTACTGCAGAGCATGGACTCCAGGGAGCGTGGGCTCAGTAGTTGTGGAGCATGGGCTTAGCTGCTCTGCGGCATGTGGGATCTTCCTGGACCAGGGATTGAACCCCTGCCCCTACATGGGCAGGCAGACTCCCAACCACTGGACCACCAGGGAAGTCCCTTTATTCCCTTTCTTGTCCCACCACATTCTCCTCAGGAACTGAGGAGTATCAAAGAAAAGGGGGGGACTGAAACCAAACAAAATCTTGTGGGGTCTACTCAGGTATAAGACTCTCCATGGCCCCACTTCTTGTTTGGCCTTCCAAAGAGCAAACTCAAGGAGTTAATGATTAGAAGAAGTCACAGGACTTTTAGTTCCTCCTGAAGGGATACAGGCAACAATTGGACTCGTGTCTTTGAGTTGTTCTGCAGAAACTAAGACCCTCAACTGGTGGACGATGGTGACTCCATGCTGACCACAGCACATAGACCCCAGGCTGGAACCAGAAGGCTGATGATTTAAGATTCCCAAAACATCACTCTATGACTTTCCCACCAACCACTCAGAAAAATATGCATGACCTGATCATGCACCCTGTGACCCTCACCCACTACTGCTGCCTTTAAAACCTCCTGCCTGAAAGCCACTGGTGAGTTCAGGTCTTTCAAGCGCAAGTTGCTCGTTCTCTTTGGTTGGCGCCCTGAATTAAACACTGTATTTTCTTTCACCATAACCCAGGTGAGTAGACTGATTGGTTTTGTGTGTGCCAGGCAAGGCGGCCCTAGTTTAGTTTGGTAACATGAGGAAAGAATACAATTTTTATAAAGTCCATTCAACCTAAGATCATGGGGAGAACTCTTTTATATGATTTCACATATCATCTTAAAAAAAAAATCAAAGGGTGAAAATTAACAACTTACCTCATAATACCACTGTGATATTGGCAAACTGTGGGTGATAGCAAGCCAGTTTCGGTGTACTTCAAAATCTGTGGAATGGCTATTCAAAACAATCAGACGAATAAAATGAGAGTTCAAAATATTTATCAGTTTCACATTTCTAAAATTATGCTTTTAAATGGATCAACACCCCTTACATAGTCACAGCTCACTATCCTCTAAAGACAAAAATAGGTACTATACAAGCCTGAAACACTTCACTTACTTAGAGGCCAGACTTCCTTCTGGAAAAGCTGGGGAATCTCCTAAGTGAAAAGGGTCTCTAAGTTAACCACGGGCTGACCTAAAAGCCCACGCTTTTTCTTAAGGGAGGCCCTCAGGCTATTGCTCAGAGAGGACTTACTCTTGTTCGCTAACAATGTTAGTAAGATTCATGATCTAGAAAAGGCCTCACATAAGCTGGATCTTCAAGGATGAGTAGGTAAGTTCATGAGACAGAAAAGGTGGGGGGATAAAATGGCCCTGTCTTTCCCATATCTCCAAATACTGTTTACTAGTCTTCCTCTCACTATGTATAAATATATCCAAATATGTGCCCTATAGGGGAGGAAAACTGTTTTCCCTTCAACCCTTCTAGGTTCTGTGGCTGACCTAAGAATTAAATTAACATAAGACAGAATAATAGGGAAAAAAATGATAATTTAAATCATTTCTATTTACTTATCTATTTTTGGCCACACCATGGGCAAATGGGATCTTAGTTCCCTGACTGGAGATTGAACCCACGCCCCCTGCAGTGGAAGCACCCAGTCTTAACCAATAGACCACCAGTGAAGTCCCCAAAAAGACAATCTGAATTATTTACATATGTACAGGAGTCCCAGAAGATATGAGACGAGACTCATAAGGTGGCCAGATGATTGAGGCTCATCTCACTATTCTGAGATTTATGGAGAGGGGAAGGGGGCTAGGGCTTCAAAGAGAGGGGAAGGTAACTTTTGGGAAAGTAAGAAGAGAAAATGTTTGGCACACAAAGGTTGCTCTGCCCCAGGGTTAAGCCTTAAGTGAAAAAGTGATCTCTGGTAAGACCTACCTTCCAGGTACAGGCCCCCTTTCTAATGTATTCCCTTGAAAGTAACCTGGACAGCTTTCAGAGCTTCTCCTGTATCTGCAGGTCCTCAAATTAATAGGTCTCCCCAAACCCTTAGGCCAAAGAGGCATATTTTGGGGTGTATATTCAGCCACCCTTTGTTCTTCTTTAGCAAAAGCTTATTTTTCTGTTTGTTCACTCCTGTACTTCCCCTCCGTATCTTGTACAGCACCTGATAATGCACACACATTATGGGCTCCACACACTCTTGTTGAATTAACCACTCACCAGAGTCAATGAGTTCCACAGCAGAACCTGATGTACACTTTCCAATGTTTCATACAACATGTCTACAATAACAACTCTGTGATGAGTTTCCTAGCCAATCTCCTCCATGTCTCTTTCACGGCTTGCCATTCCAATATTCATCAAGCCCAGGTGCCCTTATGTTCAGTTCTTGGTCTTCTTTCTATACAGGTTACTCTGCTCTGGACAATCTTATTCACACTTACTGCTTCCACTATGAACTGTGGAATGATGACTCCCAAATCACATATACAACCTTGGTCTCTTTCCTCAGTTCTAGGAGGGACATCTCCAACTTCCTGCTGACGGTATCTCCTGAATCTCATAGAGATTTCTCAAAATCACAATTCACAAATGATCTTATGATCTAACATTTCCATTTCTAGATATATACTTGAAGGGGAGCAAAATGTGTCTGTTTGGCAAGAGGATTAATTTAAGCTAATTATTTTTAAGAAACAGAAGACTCAGGAATCCTTTTTACCACCCTCTTAAGTGCCTAAAGAATTTATATAAAGGGCTTTGTTCCTGGAATAGAGCTATCACCACTGATACTGGTCAAGAATATGGGCTAGGTGTGGTGGAAGAAATTCATCAGAGCCTAAGTCCACTCTGTTCCACTGTATCTTCATGGCCCAGCAAACATTTGTTTACCAAACGTTCGCTTTTCCTTCTTTATGTTGACTGCCTTTCTCCCCTTTGAAGTCCCAAACCACTACCCTTAACATCCGCTTGTCTTTAGTTGAAGATAGTATTTAAGGTGGGGGTTTCAGTCATTTTCGCAAGTTACTCTGTTATCATGAGTCTCTCCCAAGTACATGCTGTTACACTTTCGTTTGATTTTCTCCTGTTAATCTGTCTCATGTTAATTTAATTCATAGACCAGCCAAAAAAACCTGGCCAGAAGGGTAAATGAAAATTTCTTCCTCCCCAACATACTCAATAGAAATGCACACATATGTTCAACAAAAGACATTTACTAGGTACGTCTTCAGGCCTCATTACATGTCAGAGACCTTTCCTGATACCCAATCTAAAGTAAGTCTCTGGGACTTCCAGAGTATTGGCAGTCCAATACTTAAGACTCCAAGCTTCCACTGCAGGAGACATGGGTTTGATCCCTGAGTCAGGGAACTAAGATATCAGTGCTGCCTGGAAATGGCCAAAATAATAAAGATAAATAAATAAATCTACTTAAAAAAATACTTTATTATCATCACTTTAAAAAATAAATGTCTTCCCTGTTAGTCTTCTTATAGGATCTCATTTTTTCCCTTCATAACACTTAACATAAGCATTGTTATGTAATTATACACTTGTGTTGATCTGTTTCTGGGACTGCTATCCTTACTAAACTACATAGGAGTTCCCTGGCAGTCCAGTGGTTAGGACTCAGAGCTTTCACCGCCACTGGGCCCAGGTTCAACCCCTGGCCAGGGAACTACAGTCCTGCAAGCTGTATGATGCAGCCAAAAAACCCAAACCAAACCAAAACTACACTCTGTAGTGTTAAGAGATCATATTCATTTTTTTCCTCCCCTCTAGTACCCAGCTTCAGTATCTGATTCATAATATAGCACTTAGTAAACATTTTGGTCCCCTTCATGGATCACTGCCTTGCCATGGCAAAGGGGCTTGAGTAACTTAATGAAACTATGAGCCATGTCACGCAGGGCCACCCAAGACAGACAGGTCATAGTGGAGAGTTCGGACAAAACGTGATCCACTGGACGGAATGGCAAACCACACCAGTATACTTGCCATGAAAACCCCATGAACTGTATAAAAAGGCAGAGTGACAGGGAAGCCTGGCATGCTGCAGCCCACGGGGTCGCAAAGAGTCAGGAGTCGGCACAACTTGGTGACTGAACAACAACAAAACATTTTGGTGAATACTTTTGCATTTATCCTGCAGCTTCCCTCTCACATCCCAGAGGCTTCCTGTTTGAGAAGTAGACCATCAACTACAACTCACATTCTTAATCCTGGACCAAGAGCTGTATTCAAAATAACCACGCTGAAGACACATTTCTAGGCTGAAGTAACTAAAGCAAGGAAGGTCGATTTATATGCACAGTTAAAAAGAAAAATTCCCTTTGACTCTGATTTGAAAGGAACTCTCTTCATATTTAGAAGGATTTTTTCCAATTTGCTTTTAAAAGGAAAAGATGCTTTTTTATTTCAGTTCTGCAAAGTTCAACTGCCAAACCCCTTCTTTTCCCAAGCTCCTGTAATTCATTTTGCTAAACCTACATATACACTTCATTGCTTATATATACATCAGTATGCGTTTACATTCTATACACACAGCTCTTTCATATCCAACAAGAGATCACCAAGGTCTTGAACTAAAGGATACCAATAAACCAAATCCTAAACTGGGAACTGGGGGAGGGAGATCCATAGGGAGAAAAGGAAAGAGGGGAAAAGTGAAAGGAGGAAAAATTAGGATGAACAGAATGTGGCCGCCAACATTAATAAATATTGAGTACCCACTGTATACATCTGGTGGTTGTTTCCATGTTTTCAGTCTTGGTTTTGCATCCATGTGTCACACACTGGTCTAAACCTGAGGGACCTGGCCCTGTCTACCTCATCCCTTACTGCCTTCAGTCACAATGGGCACTTTCTGTTCCTAGAATACTCAGTTCTTTCTTACCACAGGGCCTTTTCACTTACTCTTTCCTATACCTGGAACTACTTTTCACATTGCTTATTCTTCTGCACCCTACAGCTTTCAACTCAAACATCATCTCCTAAAAGAGTATACTCTTGCCGGGCAGTCGCTCTCTACTTCTTTCACAGACCTCATCACAATCTGAAACTTTTCTGTTCGTCCATCTGCCCCCACCAACTCCTTCGAGGACAAGGACTGTAAATGTCTTCCCCGCCTCTCCAGGTCTTAGAACAGTGCATATTAGCACAGGAGGCAGTTGAGAAATATTGTATTTGAATGAATGTTGGAGGTGGATACTGTTTACCTGCATATTAAGGAAGAGGACCCTGAGGCCAAGAAACACAAAAATCAGTGCCAGATATGACTCCAGCCATCCAGAGCTATGATCTGGTCACTAGATTCTAGTTCATAGGTAAAATAACAACTAATGGGCTGAGTGGGAAGCATAGCAAAGTGTAGCAGCGACCTCACGACTTCAAGTTCCCTTTCCTCCTCTCATTCACGCTTACTCTCGCCAGTCCTGACCGACCACGGGTCTTCCCCGCCCAGCCCCGGGCCTTGTGGGTCCCTTACTAGGTAGGGATGAGAAGGCATTTGAGGAGCGTCACCCCGAGAGCCAACGCCGAAAACCAATTGCCACCGCCGGTCGCGATCCCGAAAGCAGCCATTGCTACGGCGCCGCCAGCTTTCAATCAATTAGACCCGCCTGCGCGACCCCGCGCATGCGGGGAAGGCCCTCGGAGGCGGCACGCGCGAGCTGCGCGCATGCGCTTAGCCGCTCAGCCGCTGAGGTTGAGGCCGGATCTCGGGCGTTTAAACCTCCCTCTTACGGTCCCTTCACCGCCCCGCCTCCTTCCCCGCCCAGACGGCCTGCTAGAGTCTGCGCGGTTTCCAGAGCGACAAGTTAAGTTTCACAGGATGTTTTTTCTGTTTTGGTTCACAAAGTTGTTGGGTGTTTGTCTGCTCTGGCTGTCGATTTTACCTGTCGTTGGGAAACCTAGCTGAGAGAAAACTATTTTTTCGTAGAGCCGTTCATGTACTAATGGGAAGAATTGTAATCCCAGAGTAATAGTAGATAAAAGTACCTCAGGATATTAGAGGCACCTAAAGCGAACACCTAGAGTATTATTAGCTCCAGGCAGAAAATGGCCTGGGCAGAGGTTCCGAAGGGAAAACTTGGGGAAGCACCTGCCTGAGGGGAGCCCGCCGTGGAGCCTGACTAAAGTCTAGTGCTTCTTTCTGTACATTTGGGGACCTTGTTCAAGTTCAGACTCTCAATAGGTCTAACAAAGCCCTATAGTGTGTGAATACTGCTGACACCCGCGCCAGAAGAGTCGAGCACAAAGAATGGAGTTCGTCTTGTCTCCCTCGTGTACTGTCTGATGTTGGACAAATGATTTTTTGAAAAAAAAATTTTTATTAAGAGTACAGTTGATTTACAATGTGTTAGTTTCTGCTGTAGAGCAAAGTGAATCAGTTATTCGTATATGTATATATATCCACTCTTTTAGATTTCCTTCCTTTTTAGTTCACCGATGAGTGCTGAACTAAAAAACTGTAGAGCTCCCTGTGGTATACAGTAGGTCCTTATTATCTATTTTCGACACAGTAGTATGTGTATATCATTCCCAATCTCCCAATTTATCCTGCCCCCCGGATGACTAACTTTCTAAAACTAGTTTTCCTTTTTAGTAAATAAGAGATAAAAGTGGTGTCTTCTTCCTAGAGTGGTTGTGAGGATTAAATGAGAACACATAAATTGCTTGATATGATGCCAGGACAGAATAAATGTTCAATAAACAATGTTTCAGAGAAGTACCTTGCTGAAAGATGAACAGCAGGTGGGTGACAGTGTCACTCTCCTCATATGAGCATATGCTCTTTCGCAACTTCACATGCCACCCACATGAATTGTTGTTCAGTCAACTGAGTTGCATCCTACTCTTTGCAACCCCATACTGCAGTACACCAGGCTTCCCTGTCCCCACATGAATACGAGACTCAAATTTATATCTCAGGCCCAGCCCTTTTCTCTCACCTCCAGACTGTTATATCCAACTGCCTACCTGCCATCTCTTTATTGTTGTTCAGTCACTCAGTCATGTCCTACTCTTTGCGACCCCGTGGACTGCAGCATGCCAGGCTTCCCTTTCCTTCACCATCTCCTGGACTTTGCTCAGACTCATGTCCATTGAATTGGTAATGCCATCCAACCATTTTGTCCTCTGCCATCCCCTTCTCCTCCTGCCTTCAGTGTTTCCCAGCATCAGAGTCTTTTCCAATGAGTCAGCTCTTTGCTTCAGGTGGCCAAAGTATTGAATCTCCAGCTTCAGCATCAGTCCTTCCAATGAATATTCAGGGCTAATTTCCTTTAGAATGGACTGGTTGGATCTCCTTGCAGTCCAAGGGACTCTCAAGAGACTTCTCCAGCACTACAGTTCAAAAGCATGAATTCTTCAGCACTCAACCTGCTTTATGGTCCAACTCTCACATCCATACATGACTACTGGAAAAACCATATGTTTGACTATAAGGACCTTTGTCACCAAAATGATGTCTCTGCTTTTTAATAGGCTGTCTAGGTTTGTCATAGTTTCCTTCCAAGGAGCAACTGTCTTTTAATTTCATGGCTGCAGTCACGGCCCACAGTGATTTTGAAGCCCAGAACAATAAAGTTTGTTGCTGTTTCCATTGTTTCCTATCTATTTGCCACAAAGTGATAACAACTAGATGGCACATGGGATCTAGTTCCCTGACCAGAGATCAAACCTGGGGCCTCTTGCTTTAGGAGCACAGAGTCTTAGTCACTGGACCACCAGGAAAGTCCTTCTTAGATGTTTGAAAGGCACCTTACTTTGGTTTCCTAGGTTGCTGTAACAAATTACCACAAACTTAAAACAGCAAAAATGTATTCTTCTACAGTTCTGGAGATCAGATGTCTAAAATCAGTCTCACTAGGCGAAAGTCATGGCGACATCAGCATTGGTGCCTTGTGGAGGTTCTGAGAGGAGAATCTTTTCTTTCTCAGCTTTTAGAAGTTGCCTGTATTCCTTGGTTCCTTCCTTGGATCACTCTAACCTCTTGCTTCTACTGAAACATCTATTACTTTTAAGAATCATATCTCCCTTGCTTCCCTTTCATAAGGATACCTGTGAGTGCATCTGGGGCGCTCCCATCTCAAAATATTTAACATAATCACATCTGCAATATCCTATTTGCCATTTAAGGTAATATTCATGAGTTCCAGGGTTTAGGACATGGTTATCTTTGGAGGCCATTATTCCGTTTACCACACAACACTCACTCGTGTCCAAAACTGAACTCATATTTCAGTATTATTCACTCAGAGAGTGACACCAATCATTTCATTTGTTCACCTCCCCTGCCTCACACCTGCAAACTCACTGTGAACTTACTAACTCAGTACCCATTCCCAATTCCCCTTCTTCCTTTTCCTTTTCTTCTAAAGAGTCTAGAAGATTTTAACAGTTTATGTTGCAGCTTCCTGGAAGCTAGGTATGCCCTGATGACACAGTTCTGTCTAGAAGGACTTATAGAGAAGTCTGCTGGGGGTTTCTGGGAAAGGATTTCTTTTAAATCCTTCTAAAAGAGGCAGTTGTTATGGATTTTGCCCCTTTTTTCATTCTTCCTGTCTTAGACTTGGTCATGATGCATGGAATAGGACTCTGAGGAAAAGGCACATCATGCTGGCCCTGACATCACTGAACTGCTAAACAAATCCTGTCTACCTCCAGAATTATTCTTACCTTCTTATTGTCTAAGAAAATTTATTAAGCGAGGAAACACATACACATCATCCTTATGTATCTGGGCGACTGTTGTTAGATTGTCTGCTCCTTCCAGTTAAAATGTTTCTAACTGCTATTGCCAAATCCTGTCCATTTGACTTCCTTGATGACATCCACTCCTCTCCACCTTCTATTCTCTTGTCTAGCCTAACTGACTTTACTTTCAACTTCTAGTACATGTCATGTTCCCTCCTGTCACTGCACCTTTACACATTCTTTCTCTGTATTTGGAATGTTCTTTCTTCTCCCAGTTGAAAAACAAAATTAAAAAAAAAAAAATTCAACTGAGTAAGTCTTTTTTTTTTTTAACTGAGTAAGTCTTAAAGGTCATATTGGTTTTATTCAATGATTTATGAATTAAGCAGCATCTGTCTAGCAGATAGAAAGGAATTCTGAAGAGCTATATGGAAAAGATGACTTTTATAGGCAGAGGGGAGCAAGAACAAAGAAGTTATGGTAGGCAAAAAAGCAGATTGGTTATTGCCAGGTTTCTTTTCCTATAGGGGATGCCAGGGGGTTGTCAGGAGGATTATTCACCTAATGATACAGTGATTCCTGATTTTCTGGTATTCGATTCCATTTCTGGGAGGACAAAACTGTAATTATATTGACTGGGGGATTTTTGCAGAAACTAATGGCTGTGGCTGGTGATTTTTATTTTAGCCAGCCAAAAACTAATTCTGTTATTTCACCAAAACTTTGTGGCTTATTACATTCAGTAGTTTACCTGACATACCTATGAAGTCTTCTTCAGCACTGTGAATTTAATTTTCACTTTCCATATCAGAATCAATTACTGAGATTTTTTTGTCTTTTTGTTGGTCTAATATTCACATAATCTGAATCAGAACTATATTCTGAGGCAGTAGGTATTTACGTTGCTTGAACAAGCAGAGAAAGTATCTGCATAAAATTCACTGAAAATTTTTTCCTCACTCAAAATTTTGTGATATGTCATTTTTGAAAATTTTAAGGTAATAAACTTGCATTTATAATATACACAAGATTGGAACAAAAACCTAATGGAGCAAAATATGAATGATAATGAATCATAAGTTGTATAATGAACTAGTGATCAATTTTAAGCTCTAACAACTTTGCACGGTGATGTTAATTGTATCACTCTCTAAAAACATGTTGATTTCCATCTCTGGTCAATAATGTGTTTAGTTAAGTCTTATTTTGGTGATGTGGAGCTTAGCATAAGTGATTCCATTTTGGGCCTATTGTCTTGTTTTTAACTTCTCTTTAAACTATATATCTCTCCATTTTTAGCTCTTAGATCAAGCACCACTTTCCCAGGAAAAGCTTCCCTGTCCTCGCTTCAAGCACCTGTCAGCTGAGGGCAATTTTACATTTATTTGGGTGATTATCTAATTTCCCATTAGATATTCATACCATGAGGGCAGGGACCTTGTCTGTTTTTACTCAAAACTGGCAGAGCAGCCGCTACAACATATGAACTCAATATTTGTTGAATGGCATGAATGTCTGGAACATGATTTCAACCCAAGTCTCTCCTACCTGAATCACTCTTTTTTCCCCACAGTTTACCTCCCAGAATGAGTAGATTTCAAACCTGGGGAGATATTGTGCCATTTTTCCAACTCCTTGTCACATTTTCGTATTCTTGGAATATTTCATACCTTTTTGTTATTGCATTTGTTATGGTGATCCGTGATCAATGATTTTTGATGTTATTGTTGGGGAGGGGGAGCATTTCCCCCTCTACCTCTCTTGAGTTCTTGTGGCTGGACTAATAACAGAATTGACAAAAGACAGCTTAACAGAAGAAAAATTAACCAATTTTAATTCATGCACATGGAGGTCCCATAGAAATGGGACCTAAGAAGTGGCCA